AAAGGTGAAATTTTCTTTCAACAGAGAGAATATGAAGAATTCAAAGTGAGGATCAATGCCCTTGTTGCCAAGGCTCAGAAAATGCCTGAAGAAGGTTGGACAATGCAGGATGGTACACCATGGCCTGGAAATAATCCAAGAGACCATCCAGGAATGATACAGGTATTATCCTGCTTCCAGTTGTGTTTATATAAATTGGCTCCGTGATTTTCTTACTATCATGGTTCTTTCCATTTTATAATGTAATTTTTTTCAAACGACAGGTGTTTTTAGGCCACAGTGGGGGGCTTGATACTGATGGAAATGAGCTACCTCGCCTTATCTATGTTTCTCGTGAGAAACGACCTGGCTTCCAACACCACAAGAAAGCCGGAGCCATGAATGCTTTGGTATGCCATTCTCAGACCTTTTTCAGTTTCACTATGTTTTCCATTAAGCTGTTACAGATGTCCTCTGGTCTTTTTGGGGCACTGTATGTCATAAATGCATCCCGTAACCAAAGTGTTTTAGAGCATTATATTTGTATCAGATACATACCTTTCAATGATCCTGCCATAAGTCCTTTTTCTGGATATTCCTACAGAGGAATATGTCACATAGACGTGTGGGCTTGTTTTGCTTCAGGATTTTAGATCTTTGGCACATGCAACTGTAGGGCTAGAATCAATTTCATTTTCTAATCTGGGTTATTTTTTGATTTGCAGATTCGAGTTTCAGCTGTTCTTACAAATGGGGCATTTTTGTTGAATGTTGATTGTGATCACTACTTCAATAACAGTAAAGCTCTTAAAGAAGCAATGTGTTTCTTGATGGATCCTATCCTTGGAAAGAAGACATGCTATGTGCAGTTCCCACAACGTTTTGATGGCATTGACTGGCACGATCGATATGCCAATAGGAATATTGTGTTCTTTGATGTATGGCCCACTTAATTTGCCCTCAGAATAGAATTTCTTTCTGATTACGAATTAGTTAATGGGAATGTTAGTTCATTTCGTACTTGTTATTTTGCAGATTAACTTGAAAGGTTTTGATGGCATCCAAGGTCCAGTCTATGTGGGAACTGGTTGTTGTTTCAACAGGCAAGCTCTATATGGGTATGATCCAGTTCTGACAGAAGCTGATTTGGAACCAAATATTATTGTTAAGAGTTGCTGTGGTTCAAGAAAGAAGGGAAAGAGTGGGAATAAAAAATACATCGACAAGAAAAGGGCAGCTAAGAGAACTGAATCCACCATCCCTATTTTCAATATGGAAGACATTGAGGAGGGTGTTGAAGGTAGGCTTTCATCAAAACTCCTCTACTGTTTTCTGATTATTATCTCCAACTGATTTTATTTTCTTTGCAGCGGCACTACATCATATCAATTTGTTTTATACGTGAGATAGTGTCAGTACTTCCCATTTCTGTATGGCTGCTATAAAATTTTCATTATTTTGTATTTTTCCAGCATCATCATTGTTCAAGAACACTTATAAACTCAATTATATAAAAGTATATTGGATACTGGATATTCCATGTTGATTAAGTTGAGGATGAAGATGAACTCAATGACCTATAGTGTTAGAATACCCTTTCTCTGTGTGGTTTTAACTTCATTCATTGTATTCTGCAGGATATGATGATGAAAGGTCTCTTCTCATGTCTCAGAAGAGCTTAGAGAAGCGATTTGGTCAGTCCCCAGTATTTATTGCAGCTACCTTCATGGAACAGGGAGGCATTCCACCATCAACCAATCCTGCATCTCTTTTAAAAGAAGCAATCCATGTTATTAGTTGTGGATATGAGGACAAGACTGAATGGGGCAAAGAGGTAAGTTAGTGAAGTATCATGGCCTTTGGTAGCATATAAGCCAGTATCCCTTTTTATATGCACCGACTTTAGTGTTTCTTTTCCTGTCACTAGATTGGATGGATTTATGGTTCTGTTACAGAAGATATTTTGACTGGTTTTAAGATGCATGCGCGGGGGTGGATATCAATCTATTGCATGCCTCCTCGTCCAGCATTTAAGGGGTCGGCTCCTATCAATCTTTCCGACCGTTTGAACCAGGTTCTTCGATGGGCCTTGGGTTCTATTGAGATTTTGCTGAGCAGGCATTGCCCCATATGGTATGGCTACAATGGAAGATTGAAGCTTCTGGAGAGATTAGCTTACATTAACACCATTGTTTACCCCCTTACCTCTATTCCTTTGCTTGCTTACTGTATGCTTCCAGCCTTTTGTCTTCTGACAGGAAAATTTATCATTCCCGAGGTAAGTGATTATTATAGCTTCTCTTTTTGCTTTGGAACAGACTTTCCTCTTTGCATCCCTAACCCTAACGCTGCAATTCTCTAAAATCTTTTTCCTCTGATATTTTTCAAATGCCACAGGCACTAATGTTTTTCTTCCAATTTTTATGCAGATAAGCAACTTTGCCAGCATGTGGTTCATTCTTCTTTTCGTCTCCATTTTTGCTACTGGAATACTTGAGCTTAGGTGGAGTGGTGTCAGTATTGAGGACTGGTGGAGAAATGAACAATTCTGGGTCATTGGTGGGACATCAGCTCATCTCTTTGCTGTCTTCCAGGGTCTTCTGAAAGTTCTTGCAGGAATTGATACCAACTTCACTGTCACTTCAAAGGCATCTGATGATGATGGCGAGTTTGCAGAGCTTTATGTTTTCAAATGGACATCCCTTCTGATCCCTCCAACCACAGTACTCATTGTGAACCTGGTGGGCATTGTGGCCGGTGTATCGTATGCGATAAACAGTGGTTACCAATCCTGGGGTCCCCTTTTTGGCAAGCTTTTCTTTGCCATATGGGTCATTGCCCATCTGTATCCTTTCTTGAAGGGTTTGTTGGGTCGTCAAAATCGTACCCCTACAATTGTCATTGTCTGGTCTATTCTTCTCGCTTCAATCTTCTCCTTGCTGTGGGTGCGAATAGACCCCTTTACCTCTGATGCAACAAAAGCTGCTTCCAATGGTCAATGTGGCATCAACTGTTAGTTTCATTTTGATATCATTTTGTTGCCTCTCTCTCCCTCAAGTTGGCCATCGCGTATATAACAAAAGAAACTAAGATGTTACAGCCATATGCATGATATAGGTTATGACTGTTCGTCTCCATGAATTTATATATTGTTTGACAGATGAAGACCCGAGACCAACAACCCTGTATCTTTTCGTTCACTTTCATTCTTCTTCAAGGTTTTGCTGCTGATGGTCCGAAGATGTTTCTGTGGTGCGGACCTAAGTTTGGTCTTGATGTTGTGTAGTTCTATGAATTTTTTTTTTTTTTATGCTAAGATCATATAGAGATATTTGTTCATCCATGTCATAAAATAAAAAATTGCGGATATTAAATTTTAAAACTTAAATTTATTGAATGTTATTTTTTAAAAGAGTATGAGTTAAGCATTATGACATATAATTTAAGAAGAAAGATTTAGATGAAATTTTTTGTAAAATATTTATGATGTTTTTTATTAAAAATGATTAAATAAAAATTAAAATTGAAAGATCTCATATTAAGTAAGCAAAATTTGAAAAAAAAACTTAATAAATTTTGATATATATTTTTAGGTGAATATTTTTAGTAAAAATATTAATAGGATCTTTACTATTGAATAAATATTAATTAAATTCAAATTATAGATAATATTTTTAATATTATTATGTATTATTGATTTTCGTATTAAAATTTATTAATTTATTGATTTAGATTTCTAATTAAATTACTTTAAACAAATTTTTTACAAATTTTTTCTAAAATTTTTTTATGTAAATCTAATATATATATATATATATATATATATATATTATAACAATATACATAAACAAGTTTATCACATAAGTACTTAATTGAACAATTTTTTTAAATGACACAAATGATAGTTTTTTAAAAGAAAAAGATAATTTTTTTAATTACAAATTAGATAATTTTAAATTTATTTAAATATTAAAATTATTCAAATTGTAATTAAAAATTATATCAATTTAGAGATATATTTTTTAAAATTAAAAAATGTGAAATATGGGTTTTATTTTTTTAATAAATAATTTTAGTTGTTTACCAAATAACTTTATTTAAAAATTTATTTAATTATCAAAATCTTTCAAACATGTTTAAAAATTAAAAAGATTAAGTTTATCAAAATATTTCAACAATATTTTTTTCTTGATTTAAAAAAATCATCTTTTTAAAATTTACGTAAAGCATTAAAAATTTAACTACCTTTATGTAAGATTTTAAAAATTCAAAAAATTATCATCTTAAATTTTTAAATAATAAGATCATCAAAATAATTATATTCATTTGAATTCTAATTATCAAATTTAAATTTCAAATAAATGCAAAAAAAAATTAATATTATTTTTATCACTTATTATATCCATTTTAAATTTTAAAAAATTAATTTAAAAATTATCTATTTAATTCTAATTACCATTAAATAATTCTTCTATAAATTTAAAATAACAAATGTAATGTGTGTTACATCAACCTTTTTATTTTTCAGTAATTTTTTTAAAGTTATATTCTATTTCTATTACAATTTATTTATTTTTTGTTTATAACTTTTTTTCAAGATATATTTTATTATTATTACAGTTTCATTTTTATGAAAAATATATATTTTTTCAATTTTTATTTTACATATTTTTCACATATTTTTTTATATTTTATATAATAATTTATTCAAGATTATTAAAGTGAAAGTATATTGATATTTTTTTATTATTTAATTTATCATTCAATAATATATATTTTTATTTTTTAAAAAATATATAATTTGAAAAGTATATAAATATTATAGTAGATAAAAATATCTAAAAGAAAAATATAAAATTTTTCTTGCTATTTAAAAAAATTTATTTTTTAATAATAAGTTAATAAATATATATTATATGTTACGAGTTTTAAATTTTTAAATATAATTTTTAAAAAATTAATTTATATATATTTATATTAAATAAATAAAATTATTTCATATATCCCTCTAAGTTTTGTGTATAAACAATCGCCTTGAATTATTAATGCAAGCATCTAAAATTTTGACCGGAAAAAGAGAGAGAAAAAGGGTCTTAACTCTTAAGTCAGCGCAGGCCCACGTAAACCCAATCTAAAGCAAACTAAACGATGACGTTTATGGTGCAAAAAGATAGGAGGAAAAACCCCAATAAAGAGTGAGCGACTGGGCAAATGCTAGGGCTTCTGAGCCTGGTGGTGAGAACTGACCAGATATATAGTTAGGGTTATTTCTCTCTCTAGAAGGAGAAGAAGAGGAAGAGGAAGCAGAATGGAGGGGATAACAGAGGGAGTGAACAACTTGAACATCACGGATTCATCAGCCTCCAACAACAAGAAGAACCGTATCCAAGTCTCCAATACCAAAAAACCCCTCTTCTTCTACGTTAATCTCGCCAAGGTTCACTCCTCTTTTCCTTTTCCTTTGTTTATCGTTTCTGGGTTTTTCTCAAATCTCTCTCTCTCTCTCTTGCTGATCTGTTTGTCTGCTCAGACAGTTCTAGCATTGATTAATTTTAAAGTATGCTATTGTTTTTTTTAGCCATTAAGGAGTAATAGCCTTAATAATATGATTTTGGGTTTTCATTTATGATTTTTTTTATGTCATTCTGTTTCATTTCTGGATGATTATCTTCTTCATGTGAAAAATTCATGAGTTTTTTTTTTTTTTGGCTTTTTTCTATTTTAAAAATAGAATACACGATATTATAAGACAAATAAGAAATGTATCTTTTTTGGATAAGTGACAAATATGAACTGCAAGAAAAAAAATTGAATAAAAGCAGATTTTGCGTAGTTATTTAAGCAACTTTTTTGCTCCCTTTTGGCAGAGATACATGCAGCAATTCAATGAGGTGGAACTCTCTGCTCTTGGAATGGGTATTCTTTCTTTGCTCTTTCTTGCACTTACATTCTTTTTTTTTTTTTTTGAAGGGGGGGGGGGGAGATTATTGAAAGTATCATCTATTTTGATGCTCTTGTCAGTATGAATTTTGGAATTCAGCTGATTTTGCTGTAAGTTTTGAAGTGGCAATTTGCTTTTGCTGCTTTATTAGATGTTATCTATTTAGCTTTGGACAGATGGAATCTGCTATCTGCATTTATAGTTTCAACTATGAGTGGCTAACACATAACGGGGGCTCATGTTCTGTTTTATTGTCATTAGCTTTATAATTGCAATGTTAGCCGTAAGAAAGAGTGATCATTTTCTTTTGTACCACAGGTAGATATAGAACACGTTACATTGACATATAGACATGTTACGTGTACATCGATTGTGGCATGTAACTGATGGATGTGTTGCTGTTCAGATCAATCTTAATTTAGAATGTTGGGGAAAAAAACATATTTCTTGATTACTTATTTTTTCATGCTTTCTTTACAACTTGCATTTAAATGCTGTCTGCAGCTATTGCTACAGTTGTTACCATTGCTGAAATATTGAAGAACAATGGGCTGGCTGTCGAGAAAAGTAAGACTCTTACTCTTAACAAGATTCTTTTTATTGTTCGTCTCATGTTGAGAACTCAAACTTACTATCACGGTATTCATGCATCATATGCCAGAAATTATGACTTCTACCGTTGACATGAGAGAGGAATCAGGGGGACGGCCAGTTCAAAAAGCTAAAGTAAGTTGTGTTCATCATGTGGCTTACATTAGACTGACCTCAATGCTTTCGGAAACAGGAGTTCTATTCTTTTGTATGCAAGTCCATATGATCAATTAAATAAATAAGGAATCTATGAAATTGGGCCTCTGATTGTTGTGAAGTGATGTGACATAACTTCTGTTAATTGGTGGAGTAGAAAAATGGGATGAAACAACAATTTATGATTTTTGTCATATTTGCTCATTTGAAACCCACTGAATGGTGTGATGTTGTTAGCGCTAGGCGTTGGCGTTTCTTGGTGAAGGCCCGCTGGCAATTAGGATTGGAAAATTCACTTGTAATTCGTAATGAAACTTGTGATATTTAGCAGTTTATTAAATTAAAAGTTTTAGGCCCCAGTTGTTGGAATAATTTCTATTGATATCAATGCATGTTCAATTGTTCACATATATGCTACTCATATGGAAAGGTGCTGTCACCGTTTAACCTGCTTATGGTTGGTCATTAGCGTAGAGGGTTGGGTCTCACCTTGGTTTGTTATTGTATAGGTATGACTTTGGTGTAGTAAAGTCTCCTGTATAATTTTGGTCCATTTTAGCTCTCTTATATTAATTTTCCTGAAATGGTTGAACCTACACTAATGTTGACTGAGGCTGACAGCGTGGAGTTTATTATTTTGCAGATTGAAATTCTACTGGGAAAGTCAGAGAAGTTCGATGAATTGATGGCAGCTGCTGCTGAGGAAGTCCTAGATAATGAGGAGCAGAGCTAAGATGAGATGTTTTCTTAATTTTAGCTTCTGTCACTTGATTCTGGATACCTTTAACAGTTCTTTTCTCGTTTGGCTGTTTGGAGTGAAGCTTACTCGCTGTGATGATATTTTTAGGAATTTTTGTAAAATACAATGGCCTCTTTGTTATTCAAAATTCAAATTTGTTGCTAATTCCATGCTTACATGGTAGAATAGTTGAAACATTTGCTCCTCAGCTTATAGATTAATCTGTTCTAATAATTTAATGTTGCCTTCTTAGTATCTTCTTTTTCTATGCTTTAGAAAAATGTTTTCCCTTCAGCGTAGGTAATGCAGGAAAGAAATTACACAGTAAAATGTCTGAGTGGAATACATGTTAAGGGCAGGCTGAAAAGGATGAAGAGAGTAACCACTTAAGCAAGCTCTGAAACAGAACTCAACAAGTCTTTTCATTCTTCAAATATGACTTATCAGTTTCATTTTCAAGATCATTTCTTAACAAAAAATTTCCAGGAGAAAAATATCAAAAAACAAGAAGGAAAAAGATGAAACTAAAATGTATGACAACTCATTCTTCTGTTCAAAACGATGAATTTATTCCCTTCAATAAGAAATTCTATGCTTCCTCATCTTTCTCTACCAGTATCCTTTTGCATGCTTCGTAGCACATGAAAGAAATCCCAGCAGCAGGCACCAACTTCATGCAACTAGGACCCAAGCCTTTATATAGACCTTGAATCCCTTCTTGTTCAAGAATGCTTGAGAGTGCATGCAGCACATTCTTGTAGACCTGTCTTCCATTGAGAGCTCCAACCTGCATGTGCTTGCGAGCCACCTCAAGTGGGAAGGTTGCAGTACTTGAAATAGCCCCAGCTAGTGATCCAATTAAAAGGGTTTCAATATTGCCAATTTTCTCCTCCTTTAAAACTTTACGATACACTTTCCGAAGAGTATCATATGCACAATAATTCGTGGCGGCATATGGAATCACTCCAATAAGACTAGGAGCAAGGCCTCTATAAAGTTCAGCAGGGCCTTCCTTTTGCAGTATTTTTAAGAAAGCATCAAGTATACCATCATACATATTTTTCTGCAAAATGAACCAATCTTGGATATAAATGGAAAACACCTTTCTTACTCAGTGAATTACAAATTTTAGATTGTGTTTACCTCAATGGTTAATCGAGTCTTAACTAACTCAAGAGGATAGGTGCACAAAGTTGAGCTGACTCCAGCACAAGCACCTGCAATTAATGAGGCAGGAATTGGAATCTTCGGTTCTTCCCCAGGTTTAGGTGACAATTGCTTATTCACAGTATCGAAAGCAAATAGCTGCAGAGCATGAGAAATTTAGTATTTGAACATGATAGGAACAATTGCAACTTTCATTTTGACTAAACAAGAGTATTCTATATTGAGATAAAATACAGCATAGAATCATAATATCAAGAAAGACGCAACTAATCCTTTCCACTACCATCTTATTGGTCTATTGACTTTAAACAGGAAAAAAATCGTTAGCAATGGCTCAAATCATGTTTACTATCAAGGCCTTCCAGTAGGTCTGTACTTAATGGCACCAAGATTACATCCATAACAAGGAGCAAAGACAAGTATAGAGCAATATTTTGCTGCTTTAATTAGTGAAGAAGACAAGATAGGAGCATTCATGCGATACATAGAAAGCATGAAACTTGCAAACTATTCATTGCAACCAGCCTACAACCAAACACCCCTCTGGCTAGTAATAAGAACACAAGCACAGATGACCTCTGAGAAAAGCTTGCTTAAACCTAATATCAATCGTGTAACAGGCCTCCGTATAATTGAGGTTAGGAATTAAAGTTGGGCTAATGTCACAAACAGCCCCTAAACTATAGAGAAATGTTTAATATGATACTTGAACTTTAAAAATTTTTAATGTGGTACCTGAACTATAAATATGTTAACCAATGTAATACTCAATCCTAACGTGGCTAGCTTCAAATGATGACATATGATAGACAAACAACCCTTGAATTACCACATTAGTTAATAGATTTATAGTTCAGGTACCAGATTAGAGACTTTTAAAATTTAAGTATCTCATTGAATATTTCAATATAGTTTAAGAGCCATTCATTACATTAACTCGTTAAAGTTTAAACTACAAAAGCATAACCAGCAATAAAGAAATAGTACGAGCCATAGAACTAATGACAGCAATGTTCACCAACAAGCGGTCTATGAAAATGATACCAGCAATTGTTTTCTCCACATCTTTCATATGTTTGAAGCTTATTCTTGAGAAAGATAAGAACCGGAAAGAAAATTGCAGAAGAAGAAAAAGGCATATAAAGACCTGTGTACTACCTATCGTGAATCCTACTACATGTTTCCACTGGACTATTCAATCACTGAGAATATGTATTATACTAAAAGAAGACTTAATAACCCAAAAAAAAAACAAAAAACAAAGTAATAGGAATTGAAGTGTAAAATTGATGGCAAGTCCATTAACCTACATGTTAAAAATGTGACATCTTCAATGGTTTTGCCCATATCCTTATATAATTAGTTTATCCTTTAGGACTTAGTCAATTACATATTCAATTGATGTTATTTAACCAAATCGAAGCAATTGGCAGCAAGTAGATGCTTGTCAATATTTCTTATACATAATCAGTTTTTGACTGAAGCATAACTTTTGAGGAAAGATAATGAGAGGAAGATCCAAAAAGATATGGAAAGAAACAACAAAAGCAGGCATCAATGGCGGAGAATTAACTGAGACTATGGATTTACATAGAAACATCATTCAGTGACCGTTAACAGAGGATATGGCTTTGAATGGAGCAGAAAGATGCAACAGTATATACAAACAATTTCACTATTGTGAAAGTTCTTCCTCTTCCTTTATTCTGTCTTAACCAACCATTTTGATGACATGTCCAAAAAAAAAAGCAGCAAGAAAATGAAAAACCAAATTCCTGGGTTTGCCACATTTTCCCACCTACTATATTTTACTGTTTCAAGGTTGTGCCATCCCAAAGTGGTTGGTACTAAATGACTCTTAAGGGACTAAACAAATTTCTTTGTATTTGGCACCCACTACATTTACTGTTTCTTTGGCAACTTCTTAGCGAACGAAAATGGAACTATTTCACTATCCAATCAATCAGAAAACTACCGCTTTGATCTGTTTAAGGAAACAATCTATACTTTGGCTTGAACAGTGAGCCATATTGTTAAAATGAAATTATAAAGAAACCCCAATACAACAATAAAGCATAAAACTAGTAACCGCTGTGAGTCAGCTTACAACCACAGTAGAGAAAACAATATATGCGGTTAGACACAATAACAAACAAGCAAAAGGCTGACATCAAGAAACAGAAGCTAAAAAGGTGTTACATACTGGCATTGATTATATAACAGCATTGAATAATAGATAGAAAACATTAAAACAATATTAATCTGGATCATTCACATTCGAAAGTACCTAGCCTATCAATGAACCAAAATACTTCACTGCAAAAAGATCACCACAAAGCTCAAAACTAAACAATTAATTAACCAACATTGCAATATCCAGTACCACAAAACCATAAGCAAACTGAATAACATTCATAAAAATACCAATAAGAATTCAGGGATTTAATACCTCTATCGCCTTGCTTGGTGCAACTCGAATCACATTAACAAAATTACCCCTAAACAACCCTTTCCACCCATCAGTCTTCATTATATCATGGAACACCTCAGTTGTAGAATTCCCACTACTCCCAACCATCAAATGCGTCCTTATTGTCTCCAATGGTGCCACGCAAGTCCTTGAAACCGCCCCCGCTATGGCACCGCTTATTAACCTCCTTAATGAAGGATTAGCAACCCTGATTTTCAGTTTTAAGCCAACTTTCTTCTTCTTCTTCAGAGCTGCTTCACCTTCCGATACTCCAACAACCCGAATTTCCTCTTGTGATGGTAAATATTTCACAAGCAAATCGGAAAATGGAGCTTTGATTCCACCATTGTCACGGGGGTTTGGGGAGTTTGGTGAAACGCCGAATCCCATTCCCATTTGACCAACGCTTGCAAATAAGCCACCTGGATAAATGTTATTCTGTTCGCGACTCCATTGAGACTCCAAATCACATATAGAGAAAAACCCACCTTTCTTATCATCAAATAACTGAATTCCTCTCTTGCCCATGATTGAAAAAACTTCAAAAATTTTTTTAAAAAAATATCTTTTTTTTCTGGGGTTTATTGAATACCCAAATTCCTTTTTTTACTGTTTTAAGAGAATTTAGAGTATTTGTGAAGAAAATATTCGATTTTGAACAAATGGGTGCCTAAAAAATTTTTTTTTGAAAAATGGGTACAAGAGAAAATCAAGTTTTTTTGAAGAATCCAAAGAGAAGAGGCGACGAAAACAAGAGACAAATGGAGAACTTACAACCTTAAAATGAAAGAATAAGAAAAAGCGATAGGGAAAGAGAGAAAAGAGGAGGGTAGGTGAATGAATCTGATTCTCAGTTTTTTTTTCCCCTCTTTAAGAAGGAATGACTGGTGTCAAAAGGTGTATACACTACGGTTGCTTTGGTGTTATGGGTTAGAGTTGGAAGGTGTTAGGTTTTGTTGTACTTCCAACCCAACAAGGTGGTCTCTTCTCCGCTGTTGCTTTGGAGATTTCAGTAATTTGAACTGTTTTAAATGTTGGTTTTCATAGGAAATTCGACAACAGAAAGCATATATAATAATTTAATTGATTCTTTCTTTGGCTGCTGGCACTTTGGTGCTATATATTTTGAATAAAGAAGATTTTATACGACCCACACGACCGCCCTAAACGATTATCCAGGTTCCAAAATATAAGACAAATTGTTGCTGTTTTCACTTTCTAGTCAGCACTCAAAGCCACTCGATTTTACGAAGGCAAGCAAGAAGAAACATAAGAAACCCTTGGTGCCCGAGTGCTGACCTTTTTTTGTCATTCTGGGTTCTTCTTTTCCTTTCAGTTTGACCTCACCCAACATAAGAAACCCCTGTTTCCACCTTTGGGCAGTTTGCTCAATACACATCTATATTCTATCGATTTAATTTGGCTTATTTCATTTCTATATGAATATAATACTAGTCCCAACTACCAAGTATCAACATCTTGTCTTGTTGAGAAATTGTCATGTGTTGTTCACTTCAAGCATGTTTTTCAGGTTTCTTTCTTGAAACAGTTGGTCAACCTGTTAAACGACAAAAAATAACGTGCTGGTGGAAAGTCCTCAGGTTTGGGTGTGGTTGTGGCCCCTTGACTTGAAAATTGCCACTTCACCCGTTAAGTTTTCCTAATTTTTCTTACTAATCCTAAACGTTTCTTAACATAAATGACATAAAGTCAAACGACTACTTGTCTAGCAAAGTTAGGCCAATTATTTAATTTTTTTATTATTTTCCATTTTATCAATAGATAAATATTTTATTTATGTAGAAAAATGTTTGATAGATAGAACAGTATTAAATAAAATTTATTTATCAAAGTATCCGAATAAATTGATGTGGTAAAATCTACTTATTAATACTAGTTTTTGATGATTCTAAAATTGAATTATAAAAAGATCATGAAGAACAAAATAAATAAAAAAATAAACTCCCTTCACTAGTTTTGATGGTTGCGATGGTGTATGATTTATAGAAGGTTAATGGTTCAAGTAAGGCCCAACCCAATAACACATTGGCAAAAGCCACATTAATTGGAGAAGGCCAGCTAATGCACTGCAGATTAACAGGCCATGAAAGAAGAGGTATCAATAGGTTGACTTGGGCCTGGGTTAACGGTTTGCTTGATCTTTTCAAAGAATCCATTTGGACAAATTTTATAATTGTGGGGGAAAACAGATAGCCTCAGAATCTGGTGGTTGGAATTGAGCTGTGCGAGTAATGAATACAGATAGAGGTTTCTTTTGGAATTTGAATGAAATCTTCCAGGATAGATGCTGTAATTAAACATTAAACATGATGACAATGGGGTATTAATTTCCACAATCTTTGACTAGAAATAGACTGTATTAAAATTCTTTGCACAATTGGATAGCTGACAATCTTGACTTGTGGAATTTGCAATATTGGTCTGGAAGATGATACCATTAATAACATTCCTTTCGCAACAATGACAGATGTAGTAGATATTAATGCCAAGAAATCGATGAGGTTGAGAAATAAATTATAGACAAAACAATAATTAACTAGTAATTACAATCAAAATTTAAATTATAACATCTCAGCAAACCCTATGAAAACAGAGGAGTAAAATAAAAATATATAGTACTACAATCTTATACACAAACTTCAGAATCCCAACCTTAATTTAGTTGCTTGACAGAAACATAATCTAAGATTTGAAGGAGTGATTGAATTAGAGATACAGAAGACCTACAACATAATGACACAAACAAGAAACAAAGAGCAGCCAAGAACAGAAGCAAAATGGAAGGAAGCCAACTGCGTTCGGACAGCTGAGGATGTTTTTCCACGAGCACGAGTTCCTCCGCCTCCCCCTCTTACTTTTCTCATATGAATTCCCAACTTCTCAGGCTGATCAGATGTTGGGTCATCAACATGACCATCTGCCCCTACTTTCTCTCCAGCTTTCACAGGCTGGCTTAGAAGCAGTCTCCTGAATGGAATCAAGACTGCTCCTTTTCCTCCGCCATCTCCAGCAGCTGAAGTTGGAAGAGATTGGGAGAATAATAACAGGAGAGTGATGAGTGAGAAAGTTAATATGAATCTGATCAGGTCCATGCCTGCAGGCTAGCTGTACTCGGCTGTTATGGAACTTGGAAGTTTTGATGTAGAAAAAGATAAAATGCCTGATAGAAAAATGGGATCAGCAAGGAGATAAAGTAGCTAGATTGCAATGGTTGGAGTCTAGTTGGAGTGGGCCAGGGTCCAGAGATTAATCAAAGAGGAAAGCTATATTGTAACAGTTGAACGATATGATTTGAAGGTCTATTCGCCCTGTTTTGTGGAAGAATTCCTTTCAAAGACGTGGTTAATCCGTGTTAAACTAGTCTTTAATCTTCATTATTGAAACCCAAAAGAAAAGAAAAAGCGGATAATAGTTCTGATGTGTTGGTATTGCAAATTGATGACATCTTTCAAAAGAAGGATATTTGTGAAGCAGGTAAGAACAGAGCGACAGTGATGTTTTCTTATCGTCTTCCTACTTTTTTCACTGAAAGACTTGCATGAATTTAAGATTTTTATTTCTAAATTTTCACACCTAATTTTTTTTTTCAAATGTTAATCCAGATAATCATTTTGTGATATTACCATTCACGGTAACTCCTAATATTAAAAATCAGTGAAATCCCTGCCAAAGATTAAGAGTTTGGTGCCAAATGGCAAATACACTTTCCATCACCAAGTTCAGTTTTCAAACCTTAAAACGTATTTTGAAAAGTGCTCAAGGAAATAAAGTGCTTCAAACTCGTTTTCCATTTTAAGCACGGTTTACATGTTGTCATCCAAGAAGCGATTTTCATTTTCAGGCATATGAATCCCATTGTTGAATCAAGAAGGGCAGATATTTACTCAACGAGAAGGGCATCAAATATATCTGAATTGAGCTTCTGCAGTGACGAAACCTGACCCACTAGTTTAGCCAATTCTCCCGTGACTCGGTCCATGTACAGCACATAAAGACCATTTCTGCTTTCCAAAACTTCAACAGATTTCCGAGCTTGGAGAAGTGATGTCACCCACTCTTCAAAAAGAACTGCAATGTGCCAATGTCACTGTCATTTATCATTTCCTAATGACAGTGCAGCCCAGAAAATACACCCTTTACCTCAACCATAGATATCGGATGCTTGTCATTTACTTCCTAAACACATGCAAAATGCAAGGATCGTGTATGTTTTTGCATGCTTAATGTGTTGGCATTGCATGTTTGGTACATGCATGCTTTGCAAAATACTACGTCAATCCCAAAAAAAACATGTACATAAAAGTCGTATGTACTCGTGAGGTGATATGCAACTGACGAAGAAACTGCGGTGAATTAATAGGAGGCAACAATATCATACGTAAGAACTAAATTATTGTGACCGGCAAAGAGTGGCGATGCATACTGTTGTCAAAGCCTTCGTTTGTTGACCAGATTAATAAGTAGTCTGATACCAAAAACTCAATTAGCTGGATCCTGTCACCCAGAGAAACAGGTCAAAACTGAGCTAGTCATAATACATGGAGGAAATCTATATGCATACCTCAAACCTATAGTATTGATAAAATCTAGAGTTGTGCATACAAACAGTTTGTTGAGATTGCATATGATTCACCTGAAGCTCATTAACAGCATAGAAGCCAGTATATTTAGCACAAGAAACAACTATGTTACCATGAAATTTTTTAATAACAAAAGCACAGCATGAAATGAAATGAACTCCCTTCTCAATTAACAAAACAAAATTTAGGCTAGTACTTTTTTGGCCAACAATTTAGGCTATTACTGAAACCTACCTCACAGATAAGCAATTTATCTATGCTGTAAGAGATAATACTCACTCCTGAATCCTTTATACTATGAACAGATCCAGACTAAGATGGCTGAAGGCTTGAGATATGAAATTCACTTATCTGGAGCATTTCAGCCTTGGCATGGTTGAAAGGCTGCTTGATAGTGAGTTGGGGTTATGGGTTCAAGTTGCAAAGCAACCTTTTCATAAAGTAGGAATAAGGCTGCATATATCCATTTAATAAACAATCGGTAAAAATCTCCAAGTAATGCCTGAAATATCATGTTTCAAGGGGCTTCGATAACTTCTTCATACTCGTTTTCTTTTTTCTTTTTTTCATTTCATAAGAGATCCTTGGACATTCAAAGCTCTGGTGAATATCCATGAAATTTCAGTTCCTTGAAGTTTCAGTCAAAATGACATTTATTTTGTTCCAATGGTATACAGGATATATGAAGGATAAATCCTCAGATTCAACAGATAATCAGCAATCAAGAATATCTAAGGTAACAAACCCAATGACTCGAAACAAATTTATCAGCTCTCATGTCTTCTCCTCAATTGCTAGAAACTCAATGTAGTACATCAAACCATAATGCTTCCAGTAGAAATATTTAAATTAATATTAGGAAAAATATAGAAGACAAAACAAAGCACAGGATGCAACAATAGAACTCCAGGATGCAAAGAGAGAAATAATAATTGTGGTTTATATAACAGAGCATAATGCTATTTTCTCAAAAAACGTGCACCATGCATGACGGTAAGAAAAAGGGAAAAGCATACAGCTAAATCTTAAAGAACAAGGAGAAAGGCAGAAGAGATAAGCAATGAAGACAATTCTTACAAGATCGCCCAATGTCGAATTTTAAATAACTGTTACTGATGATTGTATTAATATATCTTTCCAAACTAAAACTAATGAGATGCAGTTAAACAAAGGTGAATTCAGAGGAAAACAAAAACATGAAGGACTGGATAGGCTAACCAGAAAATACTTACATTACAAACATGCACTCATGCATAGCAGGAAAAGTTTCATCAAATGGGTCCGAGAAAAGTAAACTTTCTGCAAGTACAGATATTCTCTGAGAAACTGAAAGTATTACACGCTGTCCAATGTATGATTCACACCCAAGCTTACGAAGCAAATGTTGGATGTAGAGCTGGGAATTTGTGTCACTTTGATGTGTTTCTGTAATAGCAAGTTGAAAACAAAAATAAATAACAACTGGCTCAAAGGAGAAAAAAAGATGCTGAGTAAAGGCAAATACACATTAACATCAGACTTCCATCATCAGAAGATGCCGATATCAGCAGAAGGAAAAAATTTTCTATTATCAAAGACATAAATATTTAACACGACCAACTTACAACAAATCTAAGGAGGTTCCAATCACGATAGACTATTTACCATCTCCTTTTGAGGGAGAAGACATCCGTCTAACCAAATGCATAATTAAGCTGCTAACAACTCCTTCAGTAGATTCCAAGTTCTTTCCCATTGATAACAAATTGTTCAATGCCACTTAAGGAGACACATGAAAGAGGAGGAAAACATCAGCACACAGATTAGACAATTAGGAAGTTCCAATCATTAGAGTGAGACAAGAAAAGGCTGTAGTTGACATGTTACCATTAGTAGTAGAGTCTCATGCTTTCAGACTAATAATTGAAACAGTTTACAACATTAATTTCTATTGAAACAATTTACAAAAGCTCTGATGAATGACACCACGTAATCATTACCTAAAATGAAATCCACAGCTTGGTGAGACCAATTTTCAAATTTAGACTCTTGAACCTATAAAAAAGGTACGAAATAAGAAAAGAAGAAACCAAACTATGGATTTACATCTCTTAGAGTGATAAACAAAAACCAGAAGAAAAACGAAAATCACTTTACAGGAGAACTATTATTGCAAAGCTCCACAAGAAAATCAACCGATGCCCTAAGCTGTTCAGCTTGATCGTCATCGCTAAAGCCTGTAGTTTTAAATAGAACTCCTATTAATAGTTCAACTACAATAAAAAACACCATTTTTGCATATTCCTAACGTTCAAACAAACAAACAAACTACTTTGCTAATAAAAGTCCATGCATAAAGTAATACTACTTTTTTTTATAATAGTCAAATTCATTTACATCATAATTATGCAAATGTTAATCATCTAAAATCAAACAAAAGAAAAGGTCAAACCTTAACCCGTTGCCAGAATTCATATAATCACCGTTCATAAGCCAAGAAACAAAGATCGGGTCACAAACATTCAGAGCATAACAAAGCTAATTTAGAGCGCAATTACATTAAAAAGAGTCCACTTAAAAGTCCTACGTACCTAAAGCGCGCCGTTTTTTAGATGAGCCAGCTGTTTGCCTTCTTTCCCTCAATCGAACTGTTAAGTAGAAAATGGAAGCATAAAGTACTAAACAAACATTGAAAAGAACATAGCTGATTCTGATTATTGATCAACGATGTTGATGATTTAACCTTGTCTGAGAAATCTTCGACGAAGAACATCATTGAATCTACGATCAGAAGCGTCTCCAAGTCGATTAGGGCTTAATTTCCCCATATTATCGAAGAAATAACACTTGCAAGAAGCAGTTTGCGGGAAAAGATCGCATTGGGAAGCATCTACATTTACGTAAGTTTAAATAAAACTAAGAGGAACCATAACGAAGGAAGAAAGTAAGTAGAGAAAGAGTTCGGGGAACCTTCGGCTTCCTTGAGATCGTCTCTGAGTCTAAGAATCTCTTGCTTTCGCTCCTTTGCCTAAAATTCCATCGAAAGCAGAGAAATTAAAACCTCGATTCGGGCAAATGTAAGAGGGAAGTGGAAAAGAAAGAAACAGAGACCTTTCGCTTCCATTTAAGAGCATCGGTTTGGGAAGGAGAAGGATGGTGCTGGAGAAACTTTGATCGTAGAAGAGAGATCGCTACGGCTAGCTTTAACGATTCATCGTTTAAAGTATCTGTCGCCGCTGATGCTGCACGGCGTTTGCTGGGGGACATTTCTGATCTCTCCCCCTACAAAAGTCAAAAGACGCGGGAGACTCGGCCGTTTTGGATTTTTCCTAACCCGCCAAGCGGCTTTATAGACTTGGGCCTGTTCGAATTTCACAAGTTTTAAGCTTGCCGAGGCCCGCTTATTTTTCTTAATTCAAAATCATTTATACTCGGTTTAATAAAATTTTTTATTTTTTGTTTTTCTTTAAATCCATTTTTTGCACAAAAAATTCTGTTAACTAAAGAAGTAACCAAGGAAGTAGCGGCTTGAATTCCATACCTTTAAGGCGTGCGTGCAATTAAATCTATCGCATTATAAATTAAATTTAAATATTAATTTTAATAAAATCAATTCAATATAAATTTTTTTATAAATTTTTTTCACTTAAAGTTTAATAATTTCTTTTAATCAGAATTCAACAAAATTTATTATTGTTTTCAATCAATCGAAGCAAATCTCATCATCCATCCAAATAATCTCAAAGAAAATGACAAGATAAAGACAGGTAAACTGACGCATTAAGCTTGAGATTATGGTAAAAAAAAAAAGAAAAACTTCAGATTTATAGGACTAAGTTCAACAACGAAACTAATTACTCAGTCAACCAAAAAATAATAAATATAAAAAAACTAATCAAATACAAAACAACTGGATCCCTAAAGAGTGACCATTCTTCCCGAGAAATTTGGGATAGGCCGCAGGGCAAAATCCATGGCATTATGGTTTGATTTCTTTTTCCCAAAAAACACACCGCTCTGACCTTGAAGAAATATACAACTCAATAAAATTTTACCTGTCCTTGGCAACTCCACTTTATCAAATAATACACAAGTTGCTTGCCAGCCTCAACTATGAAGAGGGAAATAGGTAGGTAGGGGACATTATATTGAAGTGGAGATAAGCAGAAGTCCTTGTGGATAAAGACATTAAAAGTAGCATGCAAAAATTAGAATAGATTCTGACAGGCCTCGATGTCAGACGACTGCGCAGCCAGCAGACCTTGCCCTGAAGGATTGGAGCTAATGATCCTGATTGCTGCATCAAACACAGTTTTCTTGTATAGGTCATCTTCCATCTTCTTAAGGATTTCCTTCACCAGCTTAAAATCTAATCCACCAGCCAAAACAAGTTTCCCGATTATTTCTCCAAAATTATTTGGTGCTTTTGGTAAGTCAATGCCAACATCATCCAACAAGGCACCATAGAGCAGGCATCCGGTCCCTATGTCTCTAGCTGTAAAAACTTTCTTAATAAACAAGTATTCGAGAAGCTTTGAAACTGGCTCAACACAAGGTGGGCTTTTCTCCAAGGCAATGCAGATTGCTTCTTTCACTACCTCAGGGTGGTATGATGGAGATTTTAGTTCCTCCACACACAGCAATGCTTCATCCAGCAGCCTAACACTGAAATATTCCTCCAACAGCGCCCGTGTTTTTCTCTGAAGATCATCTGGATTTAGTCTTGCGGCTGGAGCTAGTGGTTTGTCGACAACCGGAGACACAGCAGCCACAGGCACAGGTTTGGCAGAAAGTGAAGGTTGTGCCACAGGCTCAGCACTCAAAATAGAGTTGTATGGCCGAGCAGGAGGGGTTGAGCTTCCCTGCAACAGGGCACTTGTCCTACCACTCATTAGGCCACCACTACCTTGAGGTAACAGCCTTGGATTCATTGAAGTTGATTTATTGATTAATGATGATGGGACATGCCCTCCAGGCTGTATACCCGGTCCATCACCCCTTGGCATTGACCGGTTCCTGGGAACTTCCCAATTATCAGTGTCCATTCCAGGCATACCAGGCATTCTCCGAGTTCCTGGCATTCCAGGCATCAAACCCCCAGTACCAGGACGTGTGATAGGAAAACCCCCAGGACCAGGACTCATTGGACCAGCAGAAACACCACGACTATTTCTAATACTTGCAGTGGCACCTGGACGCAGCCCGAGATTCTTTTCAGCCTCAGAATGGATTTCAGTAATTGTTTTGGCTTTCACCTGCAAAAAACAATACAAAGAAGAGATGTTGATATTAAAACCCATTCACATGGACATGTCAACAACATCTATCTAATCTAACCCAGAAAAATTGATGACTTATGAGCTACCTCTTCACGCCTGGGAACCCAGTTGTTTGCACGAAGATCAAGAACATCACGAACCATAAATCTCATTCTTGGAGCAAGCTGAGGATTTGTAGTCAGTTCCTTCAGTCTGCTGAAGTACATATCATTTATGCGCCGTGATTTTGGGCTCTCATCAAGCTGCTTACCAATAGTGTTGAAGAACTGACAAATGGCTTCAACATTCTCCTCTGCAGGGCAAGCTCTATTGTCATGGCCCAAAAGTTCCTGTTTGATACAATAGGCAAAAAATGATTTAGTATAACTTACTAAAAATCCAGTGTTCCATTGATGAGAAAGGAAGTATCAGCAACAACCTGCACGATGTGATGGACTATCTTCTCAGGTACCATTTTCTGCTTCAGAAGCTCACCAATTAATCGAATATTACCAAGAGTACGGAGCTTGACCATCCTTTCTTTATCCCTACACTCCATCTCTTGCTCAGGGGCAGTCATCCGACCCACTTCTTCTCTGAGCTTGTCAGCTCCCTCAAATGCCTCCTGGCAGTTATTCAAGAGGACTCGCTTAAATGTGATTTGTTTTCCACCAGGTTCGTCGGATGGGAATGAGGGAAGCTTATCATTGAGATCAGAACATAAAAGAGCATACATAGGACAAAATGTGGGTTCCAGAACAGCCTTATCAAATATTAGAGAAATAACCCCCTGTAAAGATACCATAGATACCATCATTGATTCTTACAATTGCAGTAACCAGAAAAGAACACAATATCTATGAAATGTGTAAGTGTGCTTGGATAAACACGCACATATACATATATACAAATACATACAGAAGGGTTAGTAATATCAAAAAGAATAACAGAAATGTAGAAGATAATAACCTTCAAGATATCAGCTGATGTGATACCAGAATCAATAAGTTGGCCCTTTAGAAGATCATACTTCTCAGGAGTCAGCTTGTTCAGTATCCTGCACAGAGAATAGAACCATTCAGAAACACTAGTAATTCATTGTTAATTTCATAACACCATGAAGGAAAGGATTGCCTCCCCCTATCATGCATACTGGAAAAAATGAAAATCATTTAGTAAGTTTGCAATTTTTTAGAAACGGAAGCCATGGCTTGCAAGGGAATCAGATGATAAATTTGCATCTTCTACCACCTTCAAATTTCTTCGTCATGGAAGCATCTCATATTCAGCAGCTTCCAAAACTGAGTTCGACTACCAACCATACTAAAAGGACATATTAAACTCTGAAGTTAAGAACTAGATAGACCTTGATAAATTCCAATGTTAAAAGTTCACAGCAATGCCTTGTTTCAGTAACTTATTAAGAAACTTCTTAAGAAAAACAAAGTGTTCCTACTACATGAGTTTGCTTATATTATTAAGGCACCATCATGCTTAATCTAAGACCAGATCCTGAATAAGATAAATAAAAACAAGGTCTTTTTTACGGTTTGTGAATAGATATCAGAGATACATATATGATGCAAAAAACCTGCTTTTATGGTTTGTCAATAAATATCAGAGACACATATATGATGAAAGAAACATATTTTTAATATATTTACCCTTTAACAGTCTTTAGAACACGCTCCTTCTCAGAAAGATTCCCCCTTCTAGCTGACCATGGCACCTCAGCCTTGACCAAAGCTGGAGTTGGTCCTCCCTGGTTCAACAACCAAAACCCAGTGTTAATGCCAAAGCCAAATGACATACATAGCTTGCTGAAGGGATAAACTTGGTTCTTACAGGAAAACATACAAGCTAATATAGGAAAACATATAAGCTAATATGAAGAGTGCAGATGCTATAAGTGGCAGAGTTCCATGAATGTTATCATTAAGGAAAAAATAAAGAATAGATGGGATCGGTGCCAATGCCGAGCAACTGATATGCTTCCTAACTAATGCATATGGAACTGAAGCATGAGTTTATAAATAAACTACAAGATAATCCTAAATGTAAGGTTACTAATGCCATTGAAACATCTTATCATTATACACAAAACACATTTAAAGAAAATGCAATTATTACTGGTGCAATTTATTGAACCATTGCTCTCTGATTGATATAAATACCTAAAGGATAAGATGATAAGTGAAGCAGAACTGATAATTAAAGCACTAATGCCTAATCAAAGTTTATCTATAAAAGTTATATTAACTGAGGAATATGTCACAAGACGTCTGATGCTTCAAATACTGACCCAGCAACTCCAAGAACAAACAAAGTAGCATTTTAATAATTCTGCTAACAGCCAACACAAATAATAAACATCTGAAGACATAGGAAATCTTATATAGACAAAAAAGTTTTCTTATCTTTTACGTCAATTACCCCTTGGTTAGAAGAGATTTGAGCCCTCAAGAACTGAGAGTTGAGTTGATCTTGGCGATTAAATTGATTAGCTTCTAGCTCTCTGGAGTCATATCGGTTTCCCAACTCCCTATCCCGAAGAGATTCCCAGGACCTCTCCTCTCCAGCAGGAGGAAGCTGTGCTGAACGGTTACGCCAATCACGATTGTCAGGCTCGGAGTAACGGTTCTGAGTCTGATTTGGTGGCTAGCAAAAGTTTAGAAAATGGATCAATAAGTGTTGACAAAGAATGATTGCTTTGCAGTACAATTTCAAAATACAGGAATTTCAGCAAGGAGGTTAATTGCTACTAAAATAAGCTAATTGAAAAGTACAAAAGCAAAAGAGAACTAGGAGCTTACATTGCTTTCTCCACGACCCCAGTTTTGATCTTCACCGAAGAGTTCCCCTTCAATTTCTTGTTTGATTTTAAGAATCTCATCAGCAACTTCTACAGCCTAAAAGGAAGGCAGGAGGCGTAATCAGATATCGTATTAAAGTATCAAACAATAATGAAAGTACCATTGTTTGATTTCAACTCAATTAAACTGAAACAGAGTATGAACAACATTGAACAATCTAATTGCATGATCAACTGAATATAATTGAAACAAAATGCTAACAACATTGAACAACTTCCTTGCATGCAAATAAAAAGCAAACGCTTGTTCCTTTCTGGTTTGTTTTGGAAGCAAAATGCAACAATAGTTTGCCGATGCACATATGAAGTATACTGCTAAGCAAAAGTTTGTACAATTACCTCCCTAAGCTTTAGAAGCTGGTCTCTAGTGTACTGCACTCGTTCATGACCCTCAAATCGTGAATCTCCAGCCTACAACAGCAAAGCAATTGATAACTTCAGATTCTACAACCCAAAAATATTTCAACATGCAGCATGTTAACATTCACATCAGCTGTCTAAAGAAATAACCAGGGCAATGGAAGATATAAACTCTAAATCATAACTAAGAACTTATGAGGCATATTCCTAACAAGGTTATAAAAAAATTAACTTATTTATCTAACAAAAACAAAAGGATAAGCTCCACAAATCTTAAGTAATATCCAAATAATAGGACACTCCACAGTTGAAATCTGTAGATTTTGTATCATAAGGAGGTTGTCAAAAGACCCGATCTTTTCTACTTCACAATCCTCAATATGACTTAGTTACTCATTGCACAAAAAGTCTATACACTTAACAAAATTCAACTCATTAGTGTAACTTATACCTTCCCGATTAGGAGGATCTACAAGTAAATATAAGTGGAAAATATATAACTATAAATTATTATCTTATACACCAGCAGTGGAGTTTAAAAACACCGCAAGTGGGTTTAACTGATTGTCACATGTCCATTTAACTACATATGTTAACTTGTTTTAAACAGACGCATCATAATCAATTAAACATGCTCAAAGAATTTTTAAACTTCACCGCCAATAAATCAAAATATCATCCATATATAACCACTGAAACACAGATATGAGGATTGACCCACAATCAGGACAAGCTAATTGATCTTTGATCAATGGAACACCTCTATTTGTTCCAAAATATATATAAGATCCTTAATGTTTGTAGGTCCTTTATGGGTAATCAGAAACTCATAGAATACCCACCTAAAGCCTACATATTTTTCTTTGTCCATATTTACAGCAAGTACACATACTAAGTGCCCCACCAAGAATTAGGACAAAGCTCATCACATTCTTCCTCTTTTAAAGGTCTAATGTAATATCTAAATCTATGTTCTTTTATTTGGTCAATATCAAAGAGAATTCGGCAAATACCATGGTTGCTATTTAAGAGCACAAAGGAATAAATTTAGAGCCTTTCAGATGAACAATAAAAGCAATGTTTTTTTAAAAGATAAGTTATAGAATCAACAATAACAATGATAAAATCAAATCTACTTGCTAAGAATCCAATCTTCAAAAGAGCAATACCCAACAGCTGCTATACATCTAAAAGACAAACCCAACCAACATCATTCAAAAATCAATAAAAGAACAAACCAAAAAGGTTAGATCCAAAAAAACTGTGATATGGGTTTTGATGAGAAAGGGATAAAAACATTGAACCTTAACAGAAAAGGCAAGAGGAGCACCGCCATGGGGACGAAAGAGAGGAAGATCAGAAGAAAGAGAACCAAACGCTAACGAAGAAGAGGATGATGAAAAAGAAGGTCCAACAAGGAGTCTAGTCCCCCGACCACCACCAGGTCTTAAACTCAACACCGTCTGATCACCCTGCTGCATACCTCGATCTTTTCACGTGAGATTCAATCTCCGCCGTCCGATCAAAAACAAAAGAACAATGAACTCAGCGATATGTAAAACGCTATATCTGAGTATGAAAAGAAAACAAAATTGGGTTTTTGAATATAAAGATACAGGAAAAAAAAAAAGATTTGGTTTCTTAAGAGACAGGAAATGAAAGTGAGCTTTTCTCTCTCTTCTGCGGGAGAGCAAAGAAGAGATGAGAAGAAGAGCAAAGTATGTGAGAACGGTGGAGAAGAAAAACAAGCCCTTCTTTGGGAGAGTGTTTTTCCTTTTTATTTTTAATTTTTGAGTCACTATTTTTCATTTTTATGAAACCGAAGTATATGTAATTACACCATTATCCTTGTTGGTTTTGGACTTGGCTAGATTTCTTTGGCTTTGACTGACAACTTTACCCTTCGTTCTTGACATAATTTTCACTTTATGTAAATTTTATAATTAATTTTGGCTGTTAAAATATTAACTTGAAGGAAATTTTAAAGTTTTATGCCAATACTTAAAATAATTTTTTATAAAAAAAAATTATAATTTTAAATTTATTAAATATTATTTCTTAAAAATAATTATAATCAAGTGAATTAAATTTCGAATTTAATTCTTGTAAGATTTTTTTAATACTTGAAATTAACTTAAATGTAAGCAAATTAAAAAAATAAAAATTCTTCAAATATCAATGCTTATTTTTAATTTAACGTTTATTTTATAAATAAAGTAATTAAATCGAAAGACAAACGCCTAAAACATACTTTTTTGCATTCAATTAACAATTTTGATTTTCTCACATTTCTTCATATTATTTAATATTTGCGAATAAATGCAATAAAGAAGAAAATCATCATTTCCAAAAAAAATCATTTATAAAGTTTTCATTTTTGTGATATTAAAGTTTGTTTATATACACGAACTAAGATAGTGATTGTGTTTTATTTTTAATTATACAATTTTTTATTAAACTGATAGGTTATATAATGCAATTGTTTAGCCTCATTAACAATTTTAAAAATAAAAAACTTGTAATAAATATAAAAAAATTTTAATAATATTAAAAATTACAAAAAAAATTATCTTCGCGTGCCAAAATACCAAAATTACTCGCTTAAAATTTCCCAAAACCTGTATATATCCCAAAGATATTTGTCAACAAAATAAATTTTATAATTAAGTTCCATTCATAGGATATAAGGCAGTTGTCAGACAATAAAAACATAAAATTTTATAATTAAATTTCATTTATAAGATAAAAGATATGATCAAAGATATTTATGTAAATATGTATTTGTAATAATTATTTTATCATAATTTGTGATCAAATTTTATTAAACAAATTTTAATCAAAAAAAAAAAAAGGAACAACCCTACGAGGCTATTTTTTCCCGTTATTTTTTAGATTATAAGATAATAAATAGTATAATAGGAGGGAAAGGGCAAAGAAGTAATTTTGTGAATCAACTTATCAATAATACATCACCGTGTCGGGCGAATAACACAAGGACAAAATTGGTAGGACATTAAAAGTTAAAACACAACAAAAATGCTGCATTATTTTACATTGGTTTTTTTTTTTTTTCCTACAATAAAACTCTCTTCCCTTGGCGGCCTTAGCTGCGTTCCATACAACATAACACGAGGGAGCGTGGGCTTATGTTCTTGCCCTAACTTTTTCCGGTTGCCTTCTGTAGGTCCCCATCTCATGTACTCCCGGTCTTGACCGAATCTAAACTCGACAGCGACCTCGTAACTTACACGTGTCGGGCTGATTCAAAGCTTCCCCTTTTTACTTCCACCGTCCATTAAGCTTTGGATTGGATACCATGTGCAGTATGATGTGATTGATGGGATTGAGCGTATAGTACTATTAATTAAATTTAATTATTAATTTTAATAAAATTTATTTAATATAAATTTTTTCTTCAATTTTTTAATAATAATAATAATAATAATTATTATTATTAATTTTATTAAAATTAACTTTATTAACTCAATGAGTTACAACGTTGCAACAACCTAAAAAAATAGAAGAAAAATAAAAATCAATCAATAAACCAAATCATTGATCAATTTTAAATTAAAAATAATTTATTTTTTATCTGTCATATTATTAACTCTCAACATTCAAATTTAAAATAGACAATTACTTAAAAAAATTAAACCGATTGGGCAAAATTATGAATTTTTAACACTTTTTTATTCTCTTTACTTTATTTTTAATTTCTTTTTAAATTTCCTTTTTTTTTAATTTAATTAATTTAAATATTAAAACATATTTTAAAATATTGTCATCAAAATCTAACAAATTTTTTCACATAAATTTGACACGTGTACCAAACTCAATCTCTTACACACTCCACTCTCACTAATCCCAAATCTACGTCAACAAGTATCATGTTTTTTAGTGCATAAAATTTGGTTATTTTTATTCGAGACCCCACTAAACTCTAATCTAGAGTCGAATTGAAATGAATCTTTAAAAAAAATAAAATTTTTTAAATTTATTTTTTTATTTATAAAATTTTAAATTAAAATTTTACTTAAAAAATTAAACTTGTTATCATTCGAAGGTAAAATTTTGCATATTATTTCAAAGTGGGGAAATGACAATGAGAATATATCAATTTGACGTCTTAGGGGATTCTGTTGTCGGCATTGCCGTCAAAAGGAGCCTGTACGAGCAATCATTGATACATGGAAGTGAAAAAAAAAAGTTTCTGATAAATCTTTCTCTGTTAGATTTCTTTTTTTAAGATAAGTACTAAGTTTTTTTTTTTGGTACATCAGTTATCGTAATCAATTATATTTATTAGATATTTAAACATATATTTTTATTTAATTAAATTTTTAAAATTTTATTTTTATTTAATTAAAATTTTGATTGAACAGAAATAATTAAAATTTTTTCTTCTAACAAAAATTTAATTAATAAAAATAAATATTTAAAATTTTAATTAATTAAAAAATAATAAAAATTTTGATGATTATTAAATTTTAATTCAACGTAATTTTGACACTTACGAAAAAAAATCAATGCATAATGGATTGGACTTTTGATGGCCCAAAATTTCCAAAAAGTCCAGTCTTTCATAGCCGAAGCACACAAAAAATTGTAACTTTGTTTATCAGATAAGCATATTCCCGTTTTCGCGTGTGCCAAACTCCTATAGCACACAGTGGAAGTGCGGAACCAAAGCCATGGCTGGGATCGCCACCAGCTTCCCTTTCAAGCCCCTCCCAACTAGAACCACTAAGCTGGTACCTTTACTTCTCTCTTCCCTCGAATCTAAGCTCTTTGAGCTCCATTTCCGCTACCCAAATAGTTTTTCCTCTTCTTCTCTTCACTGCTCTGCTTCTATAACTACCCGTTTCGCTGGTGATTCCCGGTTTTCGGGTCCCGTTCGGTCCAAGCAGAAAGATGAAGACCAGGACCTTGATTTATCTGGCATCGGGTTTTTATTTATTTATTTGATTAATTCCACCTTCTGCCTTTTGGGTATTTTTGTTTCGTTTATTTTCTAATTTTAAGGGTGTGTTTGTTTGTTCGTTGCTGTGATTTAGGTCAGATTCTGTCAGGCTTATTGATGAGCAGCAGAATATGGTTAGTGGAACTTTCCTTTTTTTATCTTTTTTTTTTTTGTAGTTTTTTAGCTGCCAAGATGGCAATTGCATTATCTTGAGATTCTTCTTTTAGTTATGAAATTGATTTAATTTGTTGATGTGTAGGTTGGGATAGTGTCTAAAAGCCAGGCCATTCAAATGGCTGAAGACGCGGAGCTTGATTTGGTAATGCTTTTCTCGGTTGAAAAGTGTACTATTTTATTTTGTTAAATTTCGGTGGTTTGTTGCTTTTGCTATTTGATTTTGCATATTTGCATTTTTCTTGTTAAAAATTTGCTAAAAACTAAAAGTCTAAAAGTAAATAGTAGAAAAAAAAAAATCATAGTTTGTAACTTAGCCTTCTGGGTTTAGGTATTAGTATTATTGTAGTTCTTCTTCCTTTATGGCACATTTAAGCAAAGTGCTTGTTTGGGACCTTTGTTCCGTTTACAACAGGAGGTGGGAAAGTTTGAAGTGAATGGCTAGAGACGATAAATTCATTGTTGCTTTGCATGCTTGAGTAGGTTTCACTGTTATTGTAGTTCTTCTTCATTGGCTTTCATCAGTACCGTCATTGAATGCGTTACTTCTGAATTATTTTGGTTTTGGTTTTGCCAATTTTTCTGCTGCTGCATATTTCACCAGATTCTAGCTTATATCCTTAAAGTTCATTACAGGTCATTTTAGTAGATTGTTTTACTTATCTCTTAGAGAGAACTTGATGTCAAAATGGTTGAGTAGACAGAAAATAATGGAAACCATCAACTTTGTTCAAGTTACGTAATTGCTGACGCTGGTCTTTGATAAGTGCACCATTAACGTTCTATCCACTTTGCTCTAAGTGGATACCTTAGAATCAAAAGCTTAAGGCTGTGTAGGGATGTTCAAGTTGGTATTTCAGTATGCTCTCATCTGTTCATTGTCTTAGTTTTGCTTTGTTTTGTTTTTTAAAGTGATAAGAATTTACTTAAGTAGCCTATACATCTCTGCTGAGGAGATTGAAACTTATAATTCTTTTCTTTTCTTTTCTCTTTAGAAAGCAAAGGTTCTTTTGAATGCATAATTATGGTACTGAAATTTGTTTTAATACCACCTTTGCAGGTGATATTATCCCCTGATGCAGATCCTCCTGTTGTCAGAATAATGGATTATAAGTATGTTATGCCTTATGCTATATTGAGAGAAATAGTATGAATTATTATATTTTTATTTATTTAGACATATTTCATCTCCTATTAATTTAGAGGAAATGGTCATGCAAATAAAAGCAATTGGCAAATGTTTTTTAAAATAGAATTTGGAGAAAAAGAGATTAAGCTTGGAGCATCCCTTTTAGACGAGAGGAAAGTGTATTATACTATAGACTCTCTCAAAGTGAAGTAAATAAAGGGTGGGGGAACTATCAGTTGAGTCTAGCAGGCCTATTCATCTACCTTACCGAAGAATTTGAAATCCAAATCTAAACTTTTATGATAATTGATATCTATTAGTCTTGTCCACTTTAACAAACACAGCACTATTAGATTGATATAAGAAAACCTGCTAAATTAAAAGTCTTAATTTCTATTTATCTTTTCCCACTTAAATTTCATATTGGAGTTTATTAATACTTGCTTTTACCTTTTCCTCAGCAAGTATAGATATGAACAACAAAAGAAGAAGAAAGTACAGCAGAAAAAAAGTGCGTATGAATGTCTTCTCTGTTAGAGTTTTCTCTTTGGGAAGCAGCTCTGTTCTAATTTAATATCTGTATGATACAATTCTGTGGACCCAGCCAGAATGACTGTGGATTTAGCTCTTCCCTTTTGTATTTCTCTTTGATTTTTTATTCAACTTTTCTTTTTGAGGAAGGATGCTGACTAAACTATGATTTTAACTTCAGCCGGTCGCATGGATTTGAAGGAGCTGAAAATGGGGTAAGGGTTTTGCATTATGCTTCCATGTCGTTATTTGTCTTTAATCTCACAACTTTTTGGTGTTTATTATATTACTTTTCTTTCATGGTTTTTATTAATGGCTAATTCTCATCCATAGTTACAAAACAAGTTTCTCTTGGCAAAATTATTTCATAAGCACACTTCATAATATTTGCCAGGTGTTATTTAAACACTGATGACAGATGACCCTAGTCTGTCACCAAATACCTTGTCTGGGTGTCTTATTTTGCTTTCAAACACTTATGACTTGGTAAATGAACCATAATACTTCTATTAATATCTTGATTTTTGGTAGTTATAAGTGACAGATGTTTTATTGTTTATCTGCAGTTTATTTGGTTACCATAAAATGATTAACTCTCCCTGGAAAGAAAGATGACATGTTACTCTGATGCGTCCAGTTTATTAGAAGTGTCAAGAAGCATATGCACGATGCACTCCCATGCATAAAACAAATATGAGGCTTGCAATTTAACCTATTTTGGGCTGTTATATGGAGGCTGATTATTTCTTCTGTTGAATTTTGCAAATTAAGAAACAGCCTGATATTAATAGGGCTTTAGACTAGTGACTTCCTTAATATAGAAGTGCCTTCATTCCATCATCTTTTATCAACACTGGAGCCAGAAAGTTGTAATCATTTACTGTCGTAGTGTTAAATTGCCAATGGTTCCATCTTAGTAAATTGAAGAATACTCGGTATTTGAATCCAACATTGACTAGTCTCTTCCTTGATATATAGGTGCCTTTATTCTATCAGATTTATCTTCTTCATCAAAAATTGGGTTCCCGCAACTCTTTTGACTCTGGTTTCTGTCAAAACTCTTCTAATGCTATAATAAATAGCTATTTTTGGGGTCTTGGTATGCTTATGGCCTTTCTAAATTGTATCTGTTTGTTTTGAACAGTTATAACATTGACCAACATGATTATTCTGTACGTTTGAAAGCTGCAAGGAAGTTTCTGAAAGATGGTGACAAGGTTGCCTCAGTTTTCTTATGATAGTTGCATATTCATGCCTCAATTGATACATATAGGTGATACTATTTTTTAGAGTTCAATAGCATTGAAGTGTTTTACCTATGCTTTCAGGTGAAGGTCATAGTGACCTTGAAAGGGCGAGAAAATGAGTTTAGAAATATGGCTATGGAGCTTATCAGGCGTTTCCAGAATGATGTAGGGGAGGTACATCAATGAAATATCTTTTTTTCTTCCATGAATAATGAATATGCAACTTTTAAGGATAGAAGAGTAAGCATCATCATGTAAAGCTCTCAAATTTCCAACATTGTGATACTGTGGATTTTTTTAGATCAAATTATGAATTGACCATTATGCTTAGGTGGAAATTTTCAAGTTCTTGCTAACTTGAATTAGCCAAAGTCCCAAGTTGAAATGGAAAATGTTTAATTATTCCAGAACCAGAGGTAGCATAAAAACTTTGCATTATGATTTTCTTTCAGGTGCTTCCTAGTTTTACTTTTTTTGAAAAATGCCATCAAATAGTTCCCGGTAGAAGATTTTCATCGAATGTTCTTTAGCAGATTAGATAATATGTGCAGTTGGATGATAAGATTGAAAACAGGGAAATGGTTCAACACCAACTTAGAATAATCAGCAACTGTCTTCTTTGGTTGTGGTATTTGGGTTTTCACCTCTCATTGGTGTTTATCCTCTTGCTGTTTAATGAATCTGTTCTAGATTCATTTGCCATTCATATTCCTTTACCTTAAAGTTTCTCTGAACTCTAAACTCTAATCTCCATTCTAATCTGCAGCTTGCAACTGAGGAGAGCAAAAACTTCAAGGACAGGAATATATTTATAGTTTTGGTTCCAAACAAGGTTCTTCTACAAAAAGCTCAAGATCCAGGAAAGAAAAAAGATAAGCCAACCAAAGATGAAGTCTCAGCTGGTGTCTGAGTATCAAATCTCTAAGAGAAAGTGTTTTTGGGAGCATAACAGTCAACAGGTAGATTTATATTCTTCAACTATGGGGTTGGGCCTTGTCCTTGGAAGTCTTGTATAGTATATGAGTCTGTCACAACTCAAAGCCTGTATTAAATATTTGTTTGATTTAATAGCAGAAGCAACCTTTTGGTACCACGATTGAATTTCTCTTGGCCTTCATTTTGTTTCAAACGAATTCAGTGATATACCATACGAGCTTAAAGGGTATAACTATTAAATGGTCTTTGGGGACTTGATGCATTGCCCATCTCTGCAAGCACAGCAGTTGTATGGGAGTTTTTGCTATTTGACATTTTTTATATGAAAAAATCTGATGTGCACGTAACGGGTATGATTTTGTTCATAAATATTTTCAGTCCGTACATTATAACTTTAGCTTTGGTTTTATTGTATAAACCAGGGCATCTCGCCATCCAATTTTTCTTGTCTTTTAATTCTCTTTTCACCAGCATGAAACGCTGCTGCCTGGATGTTTGTTAAACATCTTCCCTTCATGATAGATTACGAGTAGTATCATACTAGCATGGTAGCAATTAGAGCTTTGCTTTTGAAGAAAATAATTGACTGTTCTTGAAAACAAATATTTTGTTGAAAATTTTAGTGTTTTTCTTTGTTTTTTTTTTTTGTTAAATGAAAGTTTAAATGAGGGTAGGCTATAAAATTTCAAGGTAAGACGTATTGTTGGACTTATGTTAGATTTACATATCGTACAGTGAGAATCAAACCTAAAATTTACAAGCAAAGAATTTGATTTCAGCACATCTGTTTGCTGTTGTCCAATGTCAGCTGAAGGTTCTAGCTGGTATTGACACTAATTTCACTGTCACATGATGAGTTTGGAGAATTATGCACCTTCAAATGGACAACCCTCCTGATTTTTCCAACCACTGTCTCAATCATCAACCCAGTTGGAGTTGTTGCAGGCATCTCAGATAACATAAACAACGGATACCAATCTTGCGGACCTCTCTTTGGAAAGCTCTTCTTCTTCTCCTTCTGGGTGATTGTCCGTCTATACCCATTCCTTAAAAGGTCTAATGGGGAGGCAAAACAGGACACCAACCATTGTTGTTATATGGTCAGTGCTATTGGCTTCAATCCTCTCCTTGCTTACAAATTAACCCATTTGCGTTGAAAACGAAGGGACCAGACACCACAAAATGCGGCATCAACTGCTGAAAAATTGCTTTCCCTTTCTTCTTTGACGGACGGTTCTCAAGATTATACATGTACATTCTTGCTCTTACTACGATTATATGACATGTAACGTATGAACAAGCAAAATGGAGATGCACAAAGATAAAATTACAGTGAAAATTTTGTGTTATAGTTATATGCATTGCACCAAGTTTTGCCATTGAATTGAAAACAGATTTCATTTTCTTCTTTTCTTTGGAGTTTGGGGCAGTAGCCAAGAATTCGGAGCCTAGAGCCACCAGTGTAATAGGTGTGCTACAAAACTAAAATTGTATTGGTTCTCAATAATATCAACTTGGAATATTGGAAGTACAATAAAAACTTCCATTCAAGTCTATAAGTAAACTAGCTCTACATCTTTTTTCCATCTTAAAACCTTTTTTTTTGGTACATTTTTCTCTCTTAAGCCTTGCCTATACACTGAATTTAAAATCCTTTGCTTCCTTTGCATTTTCTTTTCATGTGCATGATACAAAGATTACACAGAAAAAATGGAGCCAGTAGCTCCATCTTTTGAAAGGGGAAAAATTAGAGAAGAAAAAAAATTACCATTTAAGTTAAGAAAATTAAAAAGGGCAATTTACATTTACTGGGAAGTAAGCAGATTTTGTAATTTATCTCAAATTATATATTGGCAGATTGTTAGCATACCAGCCGGTCAGGGCCATGGAAATGTTTTGGCTGCCATGATTGGCTGCTTATTCCTCTCCAAAGGTTGTTTTGTTTGTATGAGATGAGACCTGAGGCTGTACTCTTCTAACTGTTCAATAACAACAGCAAAATTATTGTCAAAAGATAGGCATAAGAAAAAAACAAAGACAGTAAATATAGACATTAGAAATAGAAACAAAACTTTACAATTGCACAATCTATTTTGGCCAGCTCATGTGGAACACATATACGATGAGCTGACCTTATAGGGATGGCATGGATTGGCCACCTTTATTATAGCAACTGAATTGAAAAAGATTAGCGCATAAAAATGAAGAGACAATGGGAAGCATTGACAGCCAACTTTAATTGGCTCTAAACATTTAAAAATGTAACCTGGTTAGTGTTTAACTTAAGTAAAAAAGGCTAAAACATTTAACCAGTTAATAACTGATTGTGCACCTAAGTAGGGTCAGTTTCAAGCAAATATGGTTAGACTTGACCTACAGTCCCCACATGGCATGCATTTTTTAGCATGAGCAGCTTCATAAATAAAATTCTTTCCTGTCCCCACGAACACATGCAACAAATTTCCATTTCAGCGTAATCAACCAGAACTAAGTCAACTCAATACCAAATTAAATCCTTTCTACCACAATAAGGTTGGCTCTGGCCACAAGGATCCTACAACGTCATTGTTCCATGTAAGAAAAGAGTTAACTCATCAGTTAAAATTCAAATTCAACCCTCCCCGACTTCTTTCTCTCTCTCTCTCTCTCTCTCTCTCCCTAAGAAGAAAATAACTGAAAATCTTATCCTCATGCTTTGTCAAATTTCTCATTACGGACAATATTTACTAGTTTTTGTAGCAGAAATAAACATCACACAATCTTAACTTATGGAGGAGTTTAATAAGTAAACTCTTGAAGAAATTTCTCTTTTTTGAGGCATGCCTAGATGATGTTTTACACCCATATATTTGGAAGTTCATTATATCTAAAAGCCTAGATCTACTTAATTTGAAGGTAATTAATTAACCCATCACAAATACCATATGCAACTCCAGAAGTCAATTATGTCATCATCCTATGGATCAAACTTTGATCCATGCAAATGGTAGTTCCAGGTCAAAGCAAAAGAATGTGATGATTAATTGTTTGTCAATGCAAGTTGTAGTCATATTTGATCCGAGAATTCAAGTTCTGAAAGCACGTAATGTCTCCTCACCTGCATAGCTGCTGTTGAAGCCAACAGAGCTTCACATTGGTCAAGAATGCGTTTCTCTTGTGCAGCTACTGCAGCAAGCTCAGAAACCAAATTGTTTATCCCTTCCACCTACAACACATAAAATATTGACATACAGTTAAGCATCGGGAGTGAAATCAAAGATAAAAAAAGACATATCAGCAAAAGTACCGCATTCTAATATCAGAATCCAGAGTTTGTCACATTGGAACAGCACAGGACCAAAACCCAAATTGTAGGCATGAAATTTTGAGTCATTAGGAGGCATTTATGCTCTCACCATAGCATTAGAAACAAAAATCTTTTCAAAATTCAGATATACATCATCTAAGTTGAAATTGCCAGAAACACTTGTCTCAACACTTAAAAGTAAAATAAACAGAAATAAAACTTCTACTTGTACTAAAATTATTTTCTCGGAAAATATGCCAGCAGTCAGCATCTTAAATTTCAATATCAAATAACAGAAAACATCAAAGGATTCCAGGACTAAGCAGAAGGAACAAAAAGCAAGATTCAGAGTCATTATTGAGACATAGACATTCAATCAAAATAGAAGCGGAAAATAAAGACTGCCACATTGATATTTGTTCTAACTGCTTATAATGTCAGCATATGTCCAAACAAAGGGGAAAAAAGCGGCTTGGGAAGCTAAATACCTTTGAGAGTAAAGAACAAACGGAAGAACCCATAGCCTGCATCATGTCAACAGCAGGGCAAATCACAGCTTTCAATGATTTGATGTCTGCCTGAAGAGTACAAAATCCAGTAACATGTCAAGATTTCTCTTTTAAGATATCAATCATAAGTTTTTTTCTAAACTTACCCTTGCCCCTCCAGTTACGGGAAGACGGAGAGTGCTCGCCTCCAGATCTTCTACTGCGCCAGCTAAAGAACTTATATGATCTCTTTCAAGTAGTGCCCAATCATTTAGGTATCCCATCTGCATGAATCATGCATACACATGCATTTAGACAATGGAAATTCCGTGGACTGACATAAGAAAACTACAAATGGGTAGTCAAAAGCATGACTGAAAATTGAATGTATTTCTGTGCAAACATCATCTCTCTTCTAAGCACAATAGGCATGCTTGGAATTTATTTCTCTCATTTGATAGATTATAGATGAAAATGAAATAGTTTATTGTTGTTTTGGTTTGTCTTTAACTATACCCTCTTTTCTTAGACAGATGGAATGATGTCAAAACATCTACAATTTCAACGAACGCCCCAACTTAGGAACAAAGTTCTAAAGACCACGCTTAAAAGCCATAAGTTGTTTAGATAGGAAAGAAAAATGAAGCAGTGCTTAAATGCCAAGAAAGAAAGTGCTAGGTCAGACAGAAGCAGCACAGAAAAGGAAGAGTAAAGAGATGAAGCAACGGGGAAAGAGAGAAATGGTCCTCCACTGCTCACTTTATTATCCAGGTCACAAAATAATAATTATCTTAGAGGAAAAGAAAAAGAATGGAATCAAACTCAGAGCTCCATTTTGATTTCACTGCAATATGTTGAAAATGGACAGGTCAGAACAACTTCAGCAATCCAATCCAGCTGACCTCTAACAGCAAATATTGGAAAATCTATATGCTATTGCAAAATGTTTAGAAGGGAAATCGTCTAATTCCTCAAAAGCTGAAGCATGGGGCAAAATGCACACTGCAGAATGAGCCTCTAGTCATAGCTTTTCCAAGTATCTATTAGATTTGACTTTCTTCATCACATTAAAAGCCTAGAACAACTAAAAGATTATGATTTACAACTCTACAAGACCTCTAAGTTCATTCTAATCAGTATCTCACCAAATTTAAGAAGCTTGGATGCCCACAACAATGCTATATATCATTACCTATAACCATGTAAAAGTAAAGTAGGTCCTTTATTCATTTAAGCGATGCTTCAAAAAGCTATGCCTATAGGATAACAAACATTCTATTACTATAAGAATTAGACCTGTAGAGTGGACCAAGGCGTAGCTTTATGATATCCACCTTTCCCTAAAATATAACAAGTTGGGCCTACTGATGAAAGAAGATATATAAGTGTGCACTGAATAACACTCTGTGCCTTCAGCAGGAGTTGCACAATTAAAAATGCACATAAACTATTATTATAATATCAAACTTAAAACATAAAAGCATTTATAAGGTCAATAATGTATGAGGGGAATAAAAGTTTGCTATGAAAGGACAATGTTGTAACAAAGAGAGGCATTACTTGATCATTCAAAACTGAGCTTAGCTTGAGCTCTAACTTCAATCGTTGGAGGATGATCTTTTTCTTGATCACAGCATCCCACAGACTCAAAGTAGCATTCCAAACATTGTACAAAATTTCCTGCAACAGCAGATCAAAATTTTCTTTGATAAAAGATTTAACACACTATATAAGTGGAATTGACCATCCATGCCATTTCTAAAGCTTTAAACTCTTGATATGCATACAACAATGTCATGAAATTCTTCACGGTAGGAAACTGATCATTGTGGACCATGATGCAAATAAGCAAACAATCCGAAAATTTTCTTGTTTCAATAATTGCATAAATGCATCACTGAAATAAAATTTTCCTATTCAAATCATCAAAGATTATCTCCCTTACTTAAACATATGCCAATATTTGTCAACACAGAGTTTTTCATTCAGAGAAGAAATCTACCTCCACAGTAACTTTCTGAATATACAATACAGCTTCCGCCCTGGCATTAGCAAGTCGCCACTGCAAATAACAATTGTAAAGAAGCCGCAGTTGATGAGCATCCTCCATGTAGTTTGCACTTTTTCTTCCCTTCTTAAAATCTGTGATAAAACTGAGAACTGAAGTTGAGCTATGGGATTGGCTGGATGAAGTGGATGTCCTAAGCCGAGATGGACTGACTCCTCTTGGAGGTGGAGTGGAAGGTCTTGCCCGAGATGGACTGACACCCCTAGGAACAGAGGTCCTACTTGGTGACTGAGGTCGTGATCCAGGAGCAGACAAAGACTGAGATTTGACCCCATGAGTTGTTGATGTCATTTTATCCAATGAACTTGCAGAAAGGAGTCTAGCAGGTCCAGATATCCACAGAGACTTATCAGCAATTGAGATTGCCTCAGATCCTACTCGACCAATTTCATCAAGTGATAACAACCTTGCAGCATCACTAGCAGATTTCTGTAGAGGTTTACCTGAACTATCAGACATTGGCGTTCTCTTCGGGGAAGATAACCCCATTCCTGGAATTGGTGTAGGCAAACTTTTAACAATCTTATCGCCCAGATCCACACTTCTGAACAATGAAGTGGAAGATAATTTCCCATTAATTCTACTGGGCCATCGCTGCTGATCTATCAATCGACTGGGCAAACCATCAACAGGTTTTGCATTTTCAGATTCATCGGGTGCATTTTTCCCTTTCAGAGGACTTCTCTTTCTCTCTGGAGTAGGCTTCTGAGATAAGGTAGGTAGCTCTGACTGTTGTCTATGAGCCACATTTGAAGAAGGTCTCAAAGTGCGATCCAAGGAAACATTATTAACCGATTTCTCTTTTTCCTTTTTGCTAACAGGAATAGAAATAGTGTCAGACTGAAATGAAACACTAAGACTTCTCATAGTAGAAGGCCATAAACTCTCTGGTATACGGGCAGTTGATAGCCTTCTAGATGATATCTGCACAAAAATTGATGAACCATGAACTGGAGTAGATGGACTTCGAGGTGAAGGTGGTGTTGAGGGACGCTTTCTCTCAGCTGATACAGCTCTCTTTTGCACCAACTGGGAAGGTATAGGGCTTGTTCTAGTGAGGTTTGGAGATGGGCTACGCTTGGGACCAGAAGGTGTTGATGGAGTGGGTGATTTATACCTCGAACTAACTTCCCTTGCTTGAGGACGTCTGGTAGTGAGTGGTGCATTGTTCTTTTCAGCAGGAACAAGAGGTGGTCTTGTGGTATCCACAGCAGGAAGCTTGTGCAATCGTTGCTCTGATTCACATACATCCATCCAAACTCTCCAAACTAGACCACATTGATGGGATTTTCCAAACAAAGCTTAAACTACATTTAACAGCCTAACCTTTATATGAATCCCACATGTAATTGGAATAAAACCAGCTGCTCAAAAACAAGATACTTTTCCCAGCAATAAATCTGCCACAGATGTACAAACCAAAAGTTAGATGCCTACAGAATGGCAGAAAGCAAAGGAATAATTATGAACACCAAAGAAAAAAGAAGAAAAAAACCGAAAAGAGTACATCTTTAAAGATGCCCAGATCTGACTGATGAAGAATTAGAGAATTACAAGAAATTAACTGAAATGGGCATTGGTTATTCATCAAGAAAAGCCCAAATCAAGCCTTAACAATGAGGCTAATATGTGATAAAACAACATCAGGTACAATGGGGGGTCCTTAAGAAATTTCAGTAGAATTCTATCCAACGTACATTAACGGTCATCACCACTTTGGCTTTTGGTTAAATCTCAGAAAAAAATTGCAAATGCAATGTACTAAAGGGTCCCCTATCGGAAAACTTGAGAAACTACACTGTTAAATGTGTACCGGTTTTTGGTTCCTGCCCTCTTGGTGGTGGGGATGTAGGATAACTAGACATCTAGAAGAAAGATGCGTAGGATAACAAGACATCTAAAAGGACACTAATTTTGTAATGTTAATATTTCTCTTTTGTCCTTCTCACGGGAATGCCATGGTCGGCTGAGATGGAAAAAAAAAACCACAATGGGTTTCATTGGTTTTCAGTTTCACTCACAGAAACAAATACACAGCCCCACTCTGGCTTCTCCCTTCCTTTCCTTCTCTTCCTTTCCTTCCCTTCCCTTCAGCTTTCCATGAAAAGGAATTCAATGACAACGAACCCAGCAAACAATTGCAGCAAAAAAATAAAAAATAAAAAAAATAAAATTTAATCACATGAGAATTCTACCTTGGGTCACATGTTCGATTAACTAAATGACAGTAAAATTAACATAACAATTAAAACTTGAAATGCAATTAATAAACCTGGAAATAATCCAAGTCTGTTGTTTGTATTAATCTTTGTTTAAGACATTTAATTAATTGTAAAAAAAAAAAAGAGATAAAAAAGGATTGAAGCTTTGCGGTGCTATTAAAGATATAGGAGGAGACATGGAGGAGGAAGATCATCGTCCATCCCCATGAATTAGCAATAAAAACTTAAAATAATAGTTAAATTTTTTATATAGAGTACAAAAAAATTGTACTATAATACAGAAAAAAAAAACATAGTTGTAATTCCTAGATATAAAGTTTCTGAATTAAAAATTTTTATTTTTGAATTGACCATCTTTTTATAGCTTTAAAGTTTGATTAAAAATGCAATAATTAATATGGGCTTTAATTTTTTTTCAATGAACATTGAAAAGAATCCAAATTCATAATTGAAGACAAAAATTCAGTGATTAAAAGTAACTGTTTCATGTAAATCTCTTTGCAAGAAAGTTGCAGAGATTGTTCATTGAATTCAACTGCTAAAAATAGCAACAAAAGGGATCACTTTAAACTAATTTAACGTTAAAAAAATTGACTTTTTTATTTTTTTTTCTATTTTTGTTTTATCCTAATTCAGTGATCTACAAAGCAAGATCAAAGCAGAAAGCTGAAAATGAATTGCAACATAAATCTCACAATAAAGAAGAAAGAAAAAAATAGTTTATATAAAAAAAAATCTCACCTTTATCGATCTCATAAATCTCCCAAAGTGATTCAATCAAAAAAAATTAACCATAAGAAATCCGTTAATTCTTTGAAATTCAAGATAAAATGGAACAAAGGGGGTGATCGCCGGAGAGGAAATGGTATACCGCCGGGGACTGTTCGGAGAGCGAATAGTCAGGCTGGAAATGGAAACTGATTGGATTTTTATTTTTAATTTTGTTTATATTTTTTTTTTATTTATAAAAGAAATAATGAAAAATAATTTGAAAAAAAAAAAAAGATGAGGAAAATAAAACGGTTTTTCAGTTGAGAGGGACTCTGAACTCTGAAGGAGTTGTTTTCGCGCCACCTACTATTGGACTTCTCTGAACTTATCTTAAGAAGAAAGTTAACTTTTTTTTTTAATACTTCAACGGAAATATTTTAAAAGTAAAATTTTGAGTGTATTAAATTGATGTAAAAAATATATTTTTAAGTTTTTTTAAAAAATTAAATTTGGATAAAATTAGATTTACTTGTATTACAAAAAAATATTGGGACATAATAAAAAATATGAGTAGGTCTTTAAATGTAGATTTAATAATTCGTGTCATCGTATCATGTAATATATTATATTCGTATTATATTTTATATAAAAATTATGTATCATAATTCATGTCAACATAAAAATATAAAATATAATTTTTTAATTTTATTAAATTTATTTATGCTTTTTTTAAAATTTTAATCTGTGTTATTTTTATGTTTTTTATTCACATCGTTTTTCTATCGTGTTATCAAATCATGTTTTAAATAAAAAAACGTATTTTTAAATTTATTCAAAAAAAATTAATACTTCGACAAAATAAAAAATATTTGCATTATAAAAAATTTATTATGCAATGAAAAAACATATTCCAAGTATTATCTAAAGCTTTTAAATTCAAGTTTCACATTGCAGGTGAGATCTTATCTTAGTGACCATAAAAAAAATTTTAGAATCTTGCGATTATAAGTTCAAATTTTATTCTATGTTAGTTTGATTATTTAATTAAATTATAATTTATTAATTGATTTATTCAGTAATATAATAATTAGTTATTTATTTAATTATATAAGTATAATATTTAATTATGAATGTAATTAAAAAAATTTCAAGTTTAATGTGAAGTTTATTTAATTTTGTTCAATTATATATCCCCTTCTGTTTGTTTGATTTTTCATTGATTTTTCTCTTACATGTTTTAATTATGTTGTAATTTTAATTTATACATGTAATTTCATCAAAAAGAAACTTTTTCTCTTATACATGCAAAGCAATGAGTTGGAAAAGTCATCAAATTAAAAAAAAATTACTCTAATAAAAAAGTTTTTAGTGAAAATATTTGCTTATTTGTCTTAAATATATATATATATATATATATATAATTTAATTAGCTCATGAAAAGGATTTTTCCAAAACCAATAGAAATTAATTACACACCAAAATCACCACCAACAAACTTTAAAATCATTGCTAAATATAACATTACTTAAAGTTGCATTCAAACCACCAGCTATAAAATAATGAAAGTATTAATCATCCATTTAGATCATGTTCCATTGAACCAGAATCGTCTCTAAATTAGTAAAAAATGTTTACCGCTGTCTAATGATACTAGTTAATATGATAAGAAAATAAATTTACATGTATTATTTTTATTGAATTTGATGAAAATTACGCATTAAATGTAAAAATATTTTTAAAATAACATTTTAATTAGTACTTGTCAAAGAGTTGAACTCACAAAAGTGGGTTTGACATCATGGGATAGCTGGGGTTGTACTGTATGAACCCATCGCTAAGATGAAGAAAATGCAATATAACAATAGGAACCATAAAAGTTTCCTCTTCACAGTAAATTTTAAGAGTCAAATTCCACCCGTTAAAAAGGGAAACGAGTTTCATGGAAGCTTAATACATGAAATTACAGTCTGTAAAAATTATGTTTCATGGAACATAGATAGCCAACAATGAAATATCTAGACTACGATATGCCTGCACTGCTGAATCTCCTTTTGCACGAGCTTTTCCTTTTTCAGATCACAATGTAGTTTCACCAATTTCCACCGTCTGCATCACGAGATTGGTAGAAATCGGTTGCTTGTACTATGTTGACATCCTCAAACTCATTGTCATCTGGAAGCAAGAAAGGTAGCATGTCAAGATGATGGTTGAAACTTGCAGTCAGACATGCATATTTGCCCTAAATTGTATATTGGTAAAAATTGGTATAGATTGAAATATATGGTAAAAATCGTATGACGTAGTAAATGATATAGATTGTAAGATAAAGTATAGGGTATGCTTCCTATTCATATTTCTCTTAGTATGATGAACAATAGCAGACAGATGCACCTTTTTTCTTTCAGCTTAACTATAAAAAAAGCACAAGTTAACAACAGCCCATTCCTGTCGTACAGTTATATGATACAGCCGATTCCAGCACAAGTTAACAACAACCATAAAATACATCTCCCAATTGAAATATAAAGTTTGACAAGACTTGACACTTGATAATTTGAAATACATTGCAATATAGATAGTTAGAGGAGGTCTCCCCACTAATGAAGAAAAGGAACAAATTCAGTGGTCATCTTAGGGAAAAGAGTTACATTTATTTTAACAAGATAATGGCCCTTGGACCAAAATTCCCATAAATGCATAATGTGCATGCCCAAAAAACGCACGCACAAACATGCATAGACAAGAATAAAAGAAGGTACTCAAACATGTTTCACAAGTTTTCAAAAACACAACTTTAAGGGAGACTTGCTATTACTTCCTAAAGATTCCATATAAACTAAATTCCACTTTATTCCCGATTTTGACAATATAAATGGGTAAAAAGCCATCACAAGTAGTCACAACTTAAGGAGGACCTGTATTAACCCATATTAAAAAGAGAAAATAGTTTAATGGTTCAGCACATAATACACATTCACCTAAGGAAGAAAACCTCCATCACCATGGCTCAATGCCAATAAGAGGGCTAACCTAAGAAATCTATTGTATGTTTGGAAGTTTTCCACTGATAGTAAAAGCTTCTTCACTTATTGCATAACATTTTATATGAAACAAAGTCATTTATAACCTACCAAATAAAATTCAGAAAATAGTATTTCTTTATGAAGACATGTCAACCTATATTCTAAGACTCAAGTTAAAGAGTATATACCTATTACAGCTAGTGCCTTGTGGCCACAAAAAATTCCTAAACTTTTGATCCAAAACACCTAACCTAAAGAAATCAGAATCATAGTACATGGATGCTAACTGGCCTAGAAATGATATGTACAATAAGAAACATTTAAAAGAAATGATAACTGAAAAAGAAGAAAACTACTAATAAGAAACAACCTTTTCTGAAGGTCAGTGCCACAACAGCATCATTTTCAACCTGAAAGGACAGAGCACATTAAATGTCAAAAAATTGTAAGGATTCATACAAATAAATCAGAGGTAAAATATCAAATTGCTGCCAGAAAAATTTTCCCATATAAGTTGAGGAGGAAAGAGAGAATATAACTTGTACCTTCTGATCAGCCAAAGTTTTTGAATCCTCTAATATTTCCCCAGAATTCAATAGGATCAAACGCTGATCATTAACAGGTTGATCAATGAGGGTATGTAACTTTTGCTTAATATCTAGGGTAGTCTCAGTGGGATCACATTGGATAAAGTATGTTGTCTTGCTACGCTTCACACGGATGTACATAGCCTATAAAAGTTGTGGCAATCAATCCAAAGTTCGAAGAATAAACTTAAATATAACAGTAAAATGCTTTAAGTTGCACATTAAATAGAAAAAACAAACTGAACTGAAATGACTATTGACAATATATTTCTTGTATTCCATACATATAACTTTGGCTGAAAAGGCAAATTATATTTGACTATTTTGCTTTTACATCTCATTTGATTTAATTACATTAACTCTTCCAATGCTTACCTAAGACAACTTTAGATCTTTCTTTATAGTGAACACCTGCACGAATGAAGAAACAATGGGTCTGGGCTTATATAGTCCAGTAACATTTGTCCTTGTCCCAACAAGGAGAAATGGAACCAGTTTTTAACTTCTCAAGATTTAATCACGTTGCCATACTCTGCATTTCCATCACTACTGCCACATCCCCAACCCGTCCTGCCATTCCCCGACTCCACTCTCCTTCAACTCGACCTTCAATTATACTAAACCTAAGACTACTTTAGATCTACAAATTCTATTTATTTTTTTAAAGCACTTTCATCCGTTTACTAATCATTTAAGGTGCCTATAAGCTATCATATCCTTCACAAATCCATCAAATTCCTCTAACAGCAACATATATCTCAGTTTTTTTTTAATCTGTAAATCAGATTAAATTAATAAAACATTACTGAAACTGCCACATTTTTTCTCTCTTTTTTTTTCACAGGGACTTCATAAAAATAATTAATAAACCATATCTATCTAAATGAAGGAAAAAAAAACTAAATTTACATAGAAAATTGCATTAATTAATATATTAATTAAACAAAAAGAGATCACGGGCGTACCATATTTTTGTTTTGAAGTTAAGTCCCTGCTTCCAATTCTCTAACAGTAAGATGCAAAAAGTGTTTATATTCAAAGGTAAACCAACAAAAAAATAGAAATAAAATACTGGAATTTCATTTATTGCCTTCTCTAGAAGAAGATGAAAAGAATAATCTGGAAAATTGTTGGAGGTCAAAACAGGTGAAATCAAATCCAACTGATGAAGAGCCTTTTAAGTAAATTCCAAGAACAAAATTTTAAGGGCGTGAATCAAACTACTGTTACTGGCAAAATCAGGGAAAATATAAGAATTCTAAGCAAGAAAACCAACCTGGAAAAAAATCGCGAGCTTCTCTGTTCAAGAAATTTGATGCTTTATTATTTATTATTTATTTTATTTTCTGTGCTGCTTTACTGTGCCGCTGCCTTTTGCATTTTTTTTTTCACTTTTTCGTTAGGTGCTGTTTGGTTGCATGTAAAGCATATCCAAATCAGTAATTTTCATACGAATATATTCTAAAAATTTTAACAATAAATTTAAATTTCAATGAAACTAAAGAGTTTCAATGAACTGATCCCATAAGCTTTAGACAAGCATTTTAAGATGTGCCTCGAGCCCGATTTAATTCATGGGCACTTTTAATAAATCAAATATGATAATATTTATTATTATAAATTAAAGTTTTATAATTAAACAGACACTAAATCATGTTGAAATTTCGTAATGCTTTTACAAAATTAGTTTTCCAAAAAATTTAGTTTGAACATTATATCAATATTTTCTATGCTTTTTAAATGAAGTTTGACTTGATAATTTAGCCCTTAAACTTTGCCTAAGTTCATCCAATTATTAAAAGATGCCGGCTAAATTTAACCTAACAAAATTTTTATAGTATTTTTATTTTTATTAAGTTTTAAATAATAGATAATTTAATATATTTTTAATGTTTATTATTATAATATTATATTCTCTTCAGTTCATTTTTTCTTTTTTTTAATGTCCAAAATTATGTCATATTTTTTTAATATCTAAAATTTTTATTTTGCATATTAAAAATCATAAAGCTTTTATTTAAAGAAATTTAATGTTAATATTAAATACATTAAACTCCAAATTTTCTTCTTAAACTCCATAAAAATCAATAACAATTAAATAAATTTGAATGAAAATAATAAATATTTTATTTTTAAATATAATTATATAATATATATATACAAATAATATATTATAAAATTAAAATAAAAGGGACTTAGGATTCTGGATGTCCAACCCTTTTTAAACTAAAAATTATTTAATATACTTATAATTTAATTTTTAATTATACAAATAAAATTAAAGTAATGATACATGTCTCTTTTTTAAAAATTAATTTTTTTAATTTTTTAAATATACATTAAAAAATATATGTCACTGTTTTAACATATAAATTCAAAAATTTCACTATCACTTTTTTTATATTTTTTATTTTTAAATTATCTCATTTTTCGCAATTTATTTAATAAAATTAATATTTATTTTCAAATCATTTTAAATATCATTATCAAATAAATCTTTTTAACTTAAGTGAATAATCGGATACATCTAATGCCATCTCATTTTCTCAACATACCTTTCTTAAACTTTTTATCATAACCACTAAGCATCATTTCATCTATTAATTCTATTATTTTTCTAATTTTTTATATTTTTTAATAGATAAGATTATGATAATTTTTTATTGGTGAAATTTGAATATTTATGATTTTTGGTATATTTTTAGTTATGTATTATGCATTTATTCTGAATCGTTAAATATTTTTTATATTGGAAATGAGATTTTGACAGAGTAGTTAGAAGAGTATTTGTTTGGTGATAAAGTAGAGGATCTAGAACCTTAAAATTTTATGTTTAAGTTACAATGTGTGAATTTATTTATTTAATTAAATTATAATTTATTAATTGATTATTTAGTAGTTGATTATATAAATATATTATTTGATTATGAATTTAATTACTAGTATAATTTTAAAAAATATTTTTTATATTTTTTAATATTTTTTAACACTATATTTAGTTTGAAGAGAAGAGAAAAAAAAAGGAAGAAAAATAAAAAAAAGTAATAAAAATAGAAAAATTATTCTTTTAAAGTAATGGAAACAAAAATACTTTTTATTTGTTTGGATAAAATTTTAATTTAAAAAAATAAAAGAGATAAAAATTTAATAACATTTTTTTGTAATTTTGATTTTTCAATACTTCATTTGGGAGAAAAAACTACGAAAAAGAAAGTGAAAAAATTTTATTTTTATAAAAAATTATTATATCTATATTTTTATTATGATATTAAATTTAATTATATAATTGATATTTTTTATAAAAATAATTTATTTTTATGAATATGTTATATAATATTATAGTTTATAAATATTTTATGAATTTTTAAATATTAACAACAAAATAAATTAAATTATTGTCAAAAAAATAAAAATAAATTAATAACTAATTAATATATTTTATTATATTAAATATGTTTAATTTTGTTTAAAAAGATTTATTTATATAATCTAAGTAGTGTAAAGATATATTTATATATTATATGTTATTTTATAAAAAAATTATAATTAAAAAAATTAAAAAAAATTATAATTTTTTATTTTTTATTAATTTTAAGTATTAAAATAAGAGATACGTATATTTTTTTAAAAAATTATTTTTAAAATTTATTTTATTAATATCTATTCAAATATAACGTAAAAAAATGTTTAAAACTTAATGTAAAATTAAAGAAGAAATATTGGGGAAAATTTATAAAATTAGGGTGAAAAAAACCTGAAATCAATCCCACTCCCCAAGAAGGAAAATGAAAATGAAAATGAAAGGTCCTTTTTCGTACTTTTTTCAGCTTTATTGGGTTCTCGCTTAGCGTAACAGTTACTTCAATCGCCAACTTACGCGACTTCCATCCACGCGCCTTCGAGCAAACCCCCGTACTGAAAAGCAAAAGTGGTTGAATCTTCCTGAATCCTGAATCTAACCAAAGCCAAATATCGCATTTCTCACAAATTTTACAACATTAAACAAAACAAAAAAACTGTGGAAAATCCCTTCACCGGAAAAATCAATGGGCAACACGTCGTCGATGCTTACTCAGTACGACATCGAAGAAGTACAACAACATTGTAACAATGCGTGTAAGTGATTCGCTCATGCCTAAATTGACTCTTCAAATTTGATCTTGTAACTACTTAAGCGTTTCCTTGCCGTTGATTTTGTGCGGTTTTCTGATTGATCTGCAGTTTCGCAGCAGGAGATCTTGTCGCTGTACGACAGATTTTGCCAGTTGGATCGAAACGGTGGCGGTTTCATCTCCGCCGAGGAGTTCTTATCCGTGCCTGAGTTTGCCGTTAATCCTCTCTCTCAGGTTTTTTGTTTTTTTCAATTTGTTCATTTCCTGTCTTCAGAATGCGCGTAGATAACGTTTTTTCTTTGGCAGAGACTGTTGAGGATGCTAGATGGATTGAATTTCAAGGAATTCGTGGCGTTTTTGTCTGCGTTTAGTCCTCGTGCAACTTTGCAACACAAAATTGAATGTAATGATTCCTTTGTTTTTGTTAATTAAAATCAACTTAGTTAATTTTTGCTTCTTTCATTTTTAACAGAAATTAGGCAATTTTGAATTTGTTTGTTTGTAGTTATATTTAAGGTGTATGATTCGGATGGCAATGGGAAAGTTACCTTTAATGACATGTTGGATGTTTTGCATGATTTGACTGGCCAATTCATATCTGAACAGCCGAGGGAGGTTAGTTCTTGATTGATTTTTCTTTCAATGTTTAACACAAACAATTTTTTTTTTTTTTATTCTTTGCTCTTTGGAGTTTGTTTTGTGTCACTATTGTTCTTTTAGTTGCAAAATATTGATAAGCAGCATTTTCTAAGGAAAAGTTTGAGATAATTCACTTTCTAAAACAGATGATCATCTAAAGTATTGTACCTTTTTACTAGCTCTCTTTCACCAATACCAAACCAATCAATGTTGAAGAAAAGACTGGATGTAGTTGGAGAAAACAGGTTACAATCTTGAGAAGTAGTAAAAAATTGTTGTTCTCTCTGGTATTGGATTGATTGTAAAGAGATATACTGTAACAGGTCTGCAAAAGTTTTTCTTGGAATGTTAATGAAGAGAGTGGCAGATATGAACGTTTCTTTGTCCTCAAAGTTTGAGTTGATAATACAAATGTCTTTGGTTATTGACTGGCTAACCATTTGTCTTCTGCAGATATACGATACTTGGATAAAAACATACATTGTTGTGGCATGTAAATCTTTTTTGTCACTAGAAATTACAATATTGAGATTTGTTTGCTTTATTCTTGATGTGCTTGTTGTGTTTGGCACAGCAAGTTTTAACTCAAGTTCTCGAGGAAGCAGGCTACACTAAGGAGTCCTTGTTAGTTATGTCAGATTTTGTAAAGGTACTATTGGCTTTATATCTGAAATTTCTAGTGTTTCAACATTTGACTAGTTTCATTTTGTTTTGAGGTCCACTTTACTTTCTTTCAAGTCATTTTATAATCGTGAGAACATGTTGCTATAGTAATACTTTGCAAGAAGATAATGCTAACATCATATGCTAATTTTGTTTGTTCTTTTATTTAACAGTGTTATGGCGTGTATAAGTTCTTTTTTTTTTTTTAATTTGGTATTAGAGTGTGAAAAGCCCTTATATTACATGCAATTTGACTGCACTCCCTGCAGATTCTTGGGAGCTCTGGTTTGAAGATGGAAGTTGAGGTTCCAGTGGACTAAACTGAGGGTAACCATTCTATGCAATAGTGAATTCCTGGCATTGGCAACATAGATTTCTCTTTTAAGAAACTGGTGCTGTAATGCTTTTGTTGTAATGTGTCTAGTCTAGTTAACTCCTCAAATTTAAAAACCCAGCCTTTCTGGATGTCACCAAACTTGAAACAGTTAAATGCTATTACTTGTTTCATGCGTATTTCTTCCTTGGGGCTTTGTTTAAATGGGAAGGAGAAAAAGAAATGGCATCTCTGATCTCTTCTTTGTTTGAAAAACATTCTAGTGGGGGGATCAGAAGGGGTACATGTATCTTTTTAAAACCCTCCAAAATCCAATTTCATATAATTTTAACTTAAAAATGATATAATTATAAAGTATTTTATTATGAGTCATCATTTCATTCCCCTTTGATCTTTAATTAAGTAAGAATTATGATGCCTTCTGCTATTCTTCCACAGAGGATTAAACCATGAAAAAAGTTTAGTGCAGCCACATTTTAGCTTCCTACTAAAATTTGTTCCTTGTTATAACATGAAAATCACCTCTAAGATTAGATTATCACTCTTTTTACAGTCATTAAAAGAGTCCCTTTGATTCTTCTCCATGATCTTGTATTGCCTTATTACTTCTAATCCACGCAGTTTTATGAAACAACAATGATTTACCCTCTGTTTAACAGTATTTGCTGATAATAAATAATAAACTGCAGTACTTGTGTTTTACGTGTTTGCTTTCCATTACTTGCATTAATAGACATTCAAGTAATATTCCTTATGGAAGTCCATGTCCAGGGGGCATTAGATCATACTTACCCCTTTCTTTTCTTTTCTTTTTTTATTTTTTATTTTTCTTGTTGTATTTTCTTGAGCATGTGAGTGTGTGGTTTGCTTCCTTTACAACAGGTGGGATCGGCACTATGTGTGCGTGTTTACTTCGGCTCCTTATAATATTTGGCCACTAGCATTCAGTCAATAATTTTATGACGGAGCATGAGGCCTGAAATTCAACTTATCTATAGGTTCAGGACTGGTGCTTATCCTCTTCTATAGCAGGGGAAAAGTTTCAAATTCTAGTGGAGAAAATTATTTGTCACATATTCTTTGCTTTTCTTCTCTCTTTTACGACCATTCGAGAGTTAAAGAGTCTGAACATTACAGCCTTTTAGATGTAATATTCACAAGCAGCAGATTGGGGAATTGTGTTTTTCGAGGCAGGGAAAACACTATTTGATAGTTTAAGATAACAGCAGATGTTGCATATCTGATATAAAAGACACACTGCCACTCAACCTGTTTCTAAACTAGTCTCATGGTCACAGCCTGGTGGTTTCCCATGTTGACTTAGATGTGATTTGCAAATCACCTATTAATTATTTTTCTAATCCCTGGTTCCTATCTTTTCTTTTGCTGGGGACAGTTTGCCCTACTGCAATAAACAGTGGTTTTATGACTTTTGGCTGATGCTAGTGCAAGGCTGAGAATGACGATATTGATAGTTTAAGCTGGGTTTTATGATCATATTGAAGTGGGAATAAAATATGGTTATAACCATCCACTAGCATCTAGTTGTTTTTAGACAATATTTCTATATCATTGGTAGGTTAAAAGAGACCTGTCACCAATTTCTATTATGGAAATCCGTTCACATTGCTTGCTACAAAAACAAGGCTAATATCCGAAGAGAAGGTTAGATTAATATAATTGGTTGAAGAATGATTCATGATACAGGCTCCTGATTAGATATCCCATCTTTGGTTGGTTGATGACTTAAAAAATGGTAAGGAATGCTTTTTTTCTTGATGAATGAGCTTTTTGGGCGGTGAAAAAGGCATACTGCTTCATACTTGACATATTCATCTGCTGTTCACTTCACCTCAGCTGTAAAACGTTTCGAAAGCAACAGATTTGAATTAATTTACCAAGACAGAAAATGATTGTAAGTGAAAAAAAAATCAAACAAATGAATACAGTGATAAACTGTCTTGAATGTTCGTGGAAGTAATTTCTGTCATCTATCTATGATCAAAAGACATCAGCCTTAGAAGAGCTTTCTCCAGTAGAGGTCGAAGCAGGATGAGGGAGATACTGCTTTAACCGCCCCATTTCAAGGGCTACATCGAGCATGGTTGGTCTTGTTGAAGGATTGTACTGTGTACACGTAAGTCCAAGTTCAATCAGCTCCAAATAACATCACACCATATTTTGACATTATTTGTTGGCATTGGAGCAGGGCTGCACCTAATCAATGCTTGCTCTACTATGGGTTCAAGCTTATGAGGATAGTGACTTTTTACCCATTCATGCAAGCTTGAACCTTCATGGTCAGTAGGGCGCCTTCCTGAAACAATTTCCAGCAAAATGACCCCAAAACTGTATACATCCCCTTGAGTAGAAGCGCGTTTGCCCATTCCATATTCTGCATTCAATCAAGTGAAAGAGAAATTAATAGCGGAGAGTATTATAATTTATAGGTAATGATCAGATGGTTACTTTTGTAATTTGATAGCAAAAATAAAGCAATACAGAAGAAGAAAATACATACCAGGAGCTATATAGCCAACTGATCCACATAACAAGCCATCTGCTGAGCTGAAGGAGATTGAATCATTTGCAGAAATACCCTCATCAACACCTCTGACCAATCTTGCAATTCCAAAATCTGTCACCAAAGCAGTCATGTCTTCGTCAAGAAGAATATTGCTTGGTTTAAGATCGCAGTGCACAACTTTAACCGGTGAGTAATGGTGCAGATACGCAACCCCTTCAGCTACATCACTACAGATGTTCACCAACTGAATCAAATCTAGGCCATGTCTTAATCCGTTGCTTGGGTATAGATGCCTTTCTAGGCTCCCATTCGGCATCAGAGGAAGTACAAGAGCCTTGAAATCTGGCCTGCTGCAAATTGTTACTATCCTGATCAAGTTTCTGTGCCTGGCTCTCTTTAGGACTTCACATTCTCTTTTAAAACTCCCTAAAATTTCTCCAGCTGTCTTTGTATCCAAAACCTTCACAGCTATTCTTGTATTGTCCCCAAGAGTTCCTTTATACACATGACCAAACCTGCCTGAACCAATTAAGCTTGAAGCACTGAACCCGGCTGTGGCTTCAATGAGTTGTCGATATGAGATTCTTGGGTACTTGAGCTCTTTCCTTTCTTTTTCCTCATCTTCGAAGTCCCCTCCATTGACTACAGCCAGTCGATTTCTGAACTTTGACTTGAGCACCAGAGGGTATCCAAACATACACAATAAAGAAGTTGCAAACAATGACATAATGATAGGCAACAATATAACCAAATGATAATGATGTTTCTTTCGGCACTTTGGCATGCCTTTAATCGAACCACAAACACCATGATTTCCTATGAAAGAGTCTATTGTCAGCAATGAAAATGCCCCTTGTCTGATATATTACCGTTGAATTTGTTGAAAGAGAAGTTCATTTCCTTGAGAGTTGATGAAGCCTGGAAAGATAGTGGTATGTCTCCTGTCAACTGGTTTAAAGCGACATCTAGCTCTTTAAGGTAAGGCAACTGTCCTATGGAAGCTGGAAGTTCACCTTCAAAGAAATTATGAGAAAGGTTGAGGAACTCGAGGGCAATGCAGCTCCCAAGTTGCGATGGGATTTTGCCAGAGAGATTATTTGAAGACAGATCAATTGCTAACACCATATCCATTTTACTCAGTTCTAATGGTAAAGGTCCATGAAAGTGATTGCTAGACAAATTCAGGTATAACTTCAAGCTCATCAATCCAGCAACTTCACCAGGAATCATCCCTGAAAGTTTATTATCAGAGAGGTCTAAAATCTCCAGGTTGACACATTTCCCTAGACTCGGAGGAAATGTCCCTGAAAGCTGATTTCCATAGAGTAGGAGTCTTCTTAGCTGGGGGAGATTGGCCAAACTATCAGGAATTGGACCTGAAAACTTGTTTTTTGATAAATCTAAGAGACCTAAATGCGTAATGTTTCCTAGAGCTGCTGGAATCTCACCAAAGAGTGAATTATTTGACAGATAAACTCTCTCTAGATTTTCCATTCTGCATAGTTCAGGTGGGATGGTTCCATTCAGAAGGTTAGTAGACAAGTTCAAGAGGGTAAGATTCACAAGGTTTGAAATGCGAGGAGGAATGAAACCGTATATAAGATTATCATCTAGATGAATCTGTACAAGCTTGGTTGAAAGGTCACCAATAATAGGAGGTACCACTCCACCAAGATTATTTCCGGCTAATTCTAGTTCTTGAAAGTTGGAGGAATTGAGCAAAGAAGCAAAAAATGGCTCGAGGTTAGTGTTACCATCATGGCTGACAAACTCATTATATGACAAATACAGGTACTGCAACTGCGGCATTTTACGTATAATATCTGATGGCAACTCCCCAGTTAACATATTTGACTCCAAATCAAGCCATTGAAGCTTTGAGGAGTTCGAAAGGGCTTGAGGTACTGCACCAACTAGTCTATTCGACCAAAGCAACAGAAACCTCAATTCCCTATGTGAACATTCACTCTTCAAAGGGATTTGACCGCTAAGAGAATTGTTAGAAAGATCTATATATTGCAAAGAATACGAACCATTGCAGAAAAGAGGAGCTGGAATATCTCCCACAAGCCGGTTACTCCCCAAATCAAGGTATACTAATTGGCGAAGAAAACCCAACTCAGAAGGAATGTCTCCTTCAAGAAGATTCCATGATAGACTAAGTTGTTGGAGCTGAACAAGAGAGCCAAGCTCGGCTGGAATATGACCTTCAAAGAAGTTGTTTGACAAATCAAGAACCACCAAAGAAGAAAGATTAGCAAGAGCAGGAGAAATGGTGCCTTTAAGTGACCTTCCACTAAGGTCAAGCTGCACAACTTGATCTTTAGCATGGTTGCAGCCGACTCCAGACCAGTTGCACACATGCACATTTGTTACATTCCAATCTTCCAGGGCATGTTCAGGGTCTAAAACAATGCCTGACATGAACGAAAGCAACGAAGCACGATCCTTCCCAATTCTAGCATTCTCTGTAGCAGTAGATACAAAGAGAGTGCTGATCAGGAACAAAAAACTAAACTTGGAAAATTGGCAAAACCCCATTTGCTTCTTTTAATGAAACAAAAATTAGAGAACAGTTGACATCCAAAAAGTGCTTGTTTGCAGCACCAAGTTTTTAGTAGGGATAGATGCTGTAGTGTTGAGATAATATGCAATATATACAAAGAAGGAAGAAAAGGATAGCCATAAAATTTGATGGCTGCGCCTACCTACCGTTGAAGGAGTGAACGTACGTTCGGCGCCTATGATCTTTGACTATGAACTCGACCAATCTGAGGTCAACAAGTGTGGACACGTATCACTCCACGTCAGCAGCATCACGAACCGTGTAACAATGGTGGTGTTCATGTCAGCAAATAGGCCTAACACTTTTGGCTAGTGTCGTTTGCTTGCGAGGCCGGGACAAATTAATGGATGATGCGTTGTTAAGGAAAATTTAAAGATAATCTAATGTTAATATATGCTCTGAAAAAGCTGATGTTGGCAACTCGATTTTGTTGTTATTGTTCATAATTTGGTATATTTGTCGGCTGAGAGTGAGGTGTGGACAGCAAACGAAAATTCCGGCTGAAAGTTTATGGGCAGATACCAAGTAACTGGATGTTTTTATTGGGCAAATTTGCATTGAGATTAAGGCCTCAAGGATAACTAGCTAGCACACCATGCTACCGCAACTAACCTCCCTCCTGGTGGAAAAACTTGTTACTACTTACTACGTGTTACTTTCCTTGAATCCAAGTTTTACGTGTTGCATGAAATCAGCTGAAAATTGGGTGAGGACTGAGGGGGATATGAATCAAAATATTGGTCAGCTAGCTGCAAACTTTCGACACGATCAGAAGAAA